AGATATTTTTACAGGGAATCGTCGAGGCGGTCGAAAATGTATGCAAGAAGCACGCATGTGGAACGGGTGTGTGTGCAGGCCTCAAGGTGCAAGGCGCAGGGTGCCAGGCTTTCCTGGTTTGGCCTTCCGAAAGTTTTCGGGATTTCAGAACATAAGTGTCGTATCTCAGCGCGTTGTGTGAAGGCCAGCTTCTTCCACGACCTAAGGGGGTCGCGGCCTCTTCCTCAGGGGTCTACTCTACGCTTGATTGTTGAATGCTTGATCTCCACTCGCCAATTCCAAATCACCGAAACCTCCAACCAGAGGTACTCCGGTTGATGATATAAATCCTGCATTGCCTATAGTAAGGAATATACCACAATTACCATGATTTGGGGTCCTTAAGGTAATGCAGGATTTCTATCATCAACCGTCGTATTAGGTCTAGGGTTCAGGACTCAGCCCCCTGATCACAAGTGCTTTGGGTTTAAGGTTACTGTAGACTTGAACAAGCAAGACCATTTTCGCATTGCTGCCCTTCTCACCCTAAATGGCCCTTATCATTAAACCCTATAAACCCTAAACCCCCCTTATCATTAACCCTATAAACCCTTAACGGCCCGAGCCCCCCTCAGGATGTCAGATGTTTGCCAGTATATCGAACATATGGTGGGCCTGCAGGCCCGAGCTGTTTTGGGGCGTCATGTCGACCGCTGAAAATGTTAAGGGCCCGAATATTTCTCTTGGGCTTTGCAGAAGCTTCAAAAAGCATGTATATTGCGTTGCATTCCTTACTAAGGGAGTGTAATGTATTAATCTGGAGCTACATTATGTTGGAGGTGGCTTGTGGGGATGTAATGATTCACAGGGGCTTGGATATGTATGCCTGAGAGTCCCGAATCTGTTCATTTGCGCTATAACTAGTCATGGCACTGCGTATAGAGACCTCCAAGAAGCCTCGACGAACAATCAGGCCTTTGTTTCTTTCGCTCCAAGCCCCATGTCACCCGGGAGCGTGACTCTATATTGAGCCCCTTGACAACCGTATCGAAGCCCTACTCAAGCATACACATCTGCCCTTGTGCTGAATCTCATAGAGCAGCGCTGGGTACCTAGCTTTCACGGTGTCAGAAGCAGCTATTGTTTAGCTAGCAGTCACCACCGACCGCATGACACTGCTTAGATGAAGGAGCGGCCCAGTGTACTATGCAATGTAGACCCCTGATTAATAACCCTTTCCCCCTTTCCTTACTCAGGAATTTAGCAGGGATCCTAACACCAAGGACATATAGAAAGGGGGAGCACTTGCTTCGAAGACGTCCCTTCTTCTGTTTAAGACCGAATTTTGAATGTTACACCAAGTTTTCAGCCCTAAACCCTAAACCTGAAACCCTAAACCTTAAAGCCTAAACCCTAAACCAGCCTTGCCTGCCTTGTGCGAGTGTGAGCGTCGAAACCCTAAACCCGGAGGAGTCAGATGCCAAGAATGACAAGCTCCGCCTCCAAGACTCCGTCTCCCAGCTCGGAGAACGAGTTCAGGCGGCGACCCGGAAGTGTGTTCGGGTTTTTCCTCCAGGGGCTTAAAAAATTACCAACATTTATTTTGGGGGGACATATTATAAGTATCGCTTAGTGGGCCCCCAAAGCCTAATCAAATTGTTAAGGCACCCATATTTTGGTGTTGGTGATTAGGGTTTCCTGTTTCGAGTGTCGGGGTTGGGGTTGCGTCCCGGGCCCCATTTACTGTCCCTGAAGCCACTGAAATATATTGCCGCGGAATGCACTGCCAACAGCAGCTGCCTTAACCCCAAGTGACCTACCGTTTTAAGGGCTCATACAGATACAAAGAAATCATAATAAGGAACCCTAAAAAGGTAGGTTCCTTAGGGTCCAGGTGCCCTGTGCAACTCTAAACCGTAGCATTAATGCCGGGCCTTGAACGGGCAGACTCAGCCCTACACAGAAGGCAGGATGCAGGTCGTCACTAAATCCCAAACCCATAAACCCTTACATCCTGAGCCCTGGAGGTCTGTAATGGTTATTTCTACAAGGTTTATAGGGTTGAAAGTAGGGTCTATCACGGATTGTGCTTGGCCTCCAATCCCGGAAACAACCTCACAATGCCACCGCACACTACCAGTGCTGCTTGTCACCACCAGAAGAAGTTTCTTTTCCAACGCCACATAGCCCTAAGCCTTTACCGAAAGCACAAGACTTGAGCATTCTGGAAAAGTTCTGGCTGCTTCGGCATGTGTGGGGATTTCTTGGATTTTAGATTTTAAAGGTGTTGGTTTTTGTTGGGTTGGATCGCCGGGCAGGATTATTCTGCGGTTCCGGCTTCTTTGTGGGTCCTGGGGTTTCGTCAGGGCTTTCGGGATGTCGTCGCTTGAGAAACGTCGATGTGTTGTGCTCCCTGCTTCTCGAAGAGGTCTCAATACCCACTGCCTGCCACCCCCCCCAAAAGGTGCTGGAGGAGGCGATGACAGTGTACCTATATAACACAAACCAGATGCCGGACACAGCCGGAATCCCAGTCGCTCTTGCACGTGGCTGTTAGGTTAATGTAGGGGCCTTGATAATTAGCATAGTTTTTTTGTTGGGGGGGGCCCTTTATAGTTATAGCATAGCATACCCCCCAAGGCCTCTTCTATTTACAAAGGCCCCTAGATTAGGGGGAGAGAGGGTTTTGTGTTCTTGAGTGAGTGGCAACGTATAGCTCCTTGGGTCGACTACAAACATCCAGAGATCTTTAGGAGACTTAGTAGGGCTGGGCCTTCCATTGCTGCGTAGGCCTGGGCGAGCACAGCATGCAGTTTTGTACGGTCACCATATCAGTTTCGGGTTCAGGGTGCTCGTTTTTTCGCCAAGACGTCCAGGATGTAGGAGCAGGAGTGTCCCATGATTCGGGTTCATGGGATCCTGACATGTATGCCAAGACAGTGTCCTGGCAAGAAATTCGACTGCAACCTAAACCCCAAACCCCAAACCTTACCCTACGCCGGAAATGCGAAGGGCTTGAGCTTTGAGTGGGATATTGATTAATGGGAACTCCAGAAAGTTGGAATATGGATTAATGGTAGGATCCCCTATAATTTACCTTAAAAAGGATACGATAATGATATTCCAACTTTCTGGCTTCTACTGTAGGGCGATCTTGAGCCCTACGTTTACGGCTTTTCCGGCTCTAAGGGCAGGTAGAGGGTTTGGGGTTTAGGAAGTTTTGTGGGGCGTTTGGTGCTTTTTTTTCAGGGCTCAGAGGATTCAGGGTTTTTGGGCCCACACCCTCAGCAAGTGAGAGATAGCGCACCTGAGACCTGCATAGTGCATCTTCGAGCCCCATCTGGTCTAGGAGCCTCAAAAATCGAATAGGGCTTTCGGTATAAAAGGCTGAAGTATGTGCGTATACTCTACAGCCCATAGATACATGCAAATACATAGATATATCTGTATGCCATCTGTATGTGCATATACATATATTTGTATATATACATGTGTATGTATGTTTCTATTTTCGTTTAGGCATATCCGACAACTCTCAGTAAGCAATCATATGATGAACCATTCAGCACAGGCAGGCAATGGACAAGCAGAAAGAAGCAGCACCTTCAAACTTCAAAGCCTCAAGCCCTACCGTGCAGCTAAACCCAACAAGTCCTGACCCGGCCCCCCGCCTACAGCCTCACAGACTTCATAAGCCTGGAGGTGTAGTTTAGATTCTTAATGAATACTGTTCCTCTGAACTCCTTTTGTTGACATTTCCAAGGTACTGCACTCGCTTACCCTGTTCTATTCATGAACGCCCTTATCTCATTATTAAGGCCCTTTACTATTATTATTATTAGTATTATTATTATTGTTATTGCTAGTATTACATTATATTTAGTACGAAGGCCCTTTGTTGCTATTGCGCCACTGAAGGTCGGCGACTCCGGGACAGGCTCCGGCATCATCTCGGACGTGCGACCTTCCACGAGCACTGCCGAGCCAGGAGGGATTGGGTTTAGGGCGTTTAGGGGTATACTGCTGATGGACAAAATCCTGCATTACCCTTTGTAAGGAATATACCATAGTTCCCATAGTTTAGAGTCCTTAGGGTCATGCAGGATTTTGTCCATCAACCGTAGGGTTTAGGGCTTAGGGCAGTTTAGGGATTTACAGTGCAGGGTTTAGGGTTTCAAGTCGATTTTTTCGGGGGGGGTTTTGTGGCTTACTTTTGGCTTTGGGTTTGTGGATGAGTTGTGTGTTTGTTCTGTGCACCGCTCGGGTTGAGAAGTGCTTGGTCTTAATTAAAACATTGTAGAACATTCCTTAAATCGAAGTGCAAACCACTACAGCTCTGAATTTAGTGTGGATCTTGGTGGATCCATACCCGGTCACACTATTTGCGCAACTCAGGTGAAAGGTTGCTCTCCTGACGGCATTGCTTTGATTTGCTTCCTAAAGTTCGTCTTTCGTTGAAGCAGTACTGGGCCCTGGGATTCGGTTCATCTGTGTTCTTGGGCTCGCAGTGGGTGAGGATGAGGATCGGGGAGGTCACAAGCTTCATATTCTCCTTCCGCCGAAGCTTTCAAAGCTACAAGTTCTCAGCATCAGAGGAGCAGCAGGGCGTCCGCCGCGACTGGGAACCTTGTGTAGCATAGTTGAGTTGTGCCTTCCCTTAGGTGGGTGAATAACAGCTAGATCTTATCCTATGTTCTGCTTCGAACATCTTCGGAAGGAGGTGAAGCACTCGGCCCAAGGAACTGCCAAATCACACCGTGAAGCTTGCAACTGGGGGCTTGCCGTCTTGAGTCCATGTACATAGGACTAGCTGGAAGGTGCATGTACGAATGCCCTAACCGCTCCGATGCAAAATGGAGGTTTCCGAAATTAGGGGTACCTTCTTTGGGGGTCCTTATAATAAGGATCCTACTATTTAGGGTACTATAGAAGGGTCCCTATTTTCGGAAACTCCCAAATGGGCAATTCGCCGAGTAGTCTTGAGCTTGCATTCTCCAGGCCTTGTGCCAGAGCTCCCGGACATGGGTGCCGACGTGACCTTGCCGTTGCTGCCGAGCAACGGACGCCCATCAGAAGACCAGCGCCTTTGTGGCAATGCTGATTTCAGGGTGTAGGGTTTACCCAAAGGCCTCAAAGCAGTTCCTTTTTGGGGGTGTTGGAAGGCGGTACCTTGTCATCAAAAAGCAAAAATTAAAGCAAATGTGCGGCAAACCAGGTTAGGTTGCGGCGGCTGAGGAGAGATACTCAATGACATTGAAGAATTACCGCGCATTGTACACTTGAAGGCAGTGTACCTTACGTTTGCTTTCTTCCAGTTATCCTGGTGCTTTTTTATCCGGCAACATGGCATCGCGACTCAAGCCTGTGAATTCTTGGCCTTTCTCCCAAAGGGTCCAAAGTACTAATATAGTAGAATGTAGGGTTTCTATACTAGGAATTACTATAATGATTTGGTGAAGTTTCCCCCATGACAGTACTTAAAACCCTAAACCCTAAACCCTTTGGGTCTGTACTCTCACGTCAGGACCTCGCCTCCCCACCTCAGCGTGTTCCGGAACGGTGGGGAGACAGCTTTGGAACCTGGCGATGCACCCGAGTACCTGGGACGGGTGTCGTGGACTTGGGCATCTTCGGTTCGGGCTAAGATGATGGCCTCAATTGAGGTAGTCGGAGGGCTCCCGAATTTCAGGAATTCCAGACAATGTCGGATTATGCCACCGGTTGCTTCTGTGCATGTGCTGCTGGTTGCGGGTGTGCTTGCGCCTTCGAGCATCGCGGTCATCCTCTGAACCGGGAAGGGGGCGGCGCGAGACCCGAAGCCTCTAACTTCGCCGGGGGTACCGTATTTGGGGGTCCTTATAATAAGGTTCGTACTACTTAGGGTACTATAGTAGGGTCCCCTGTTTTCGGAGACTCCCATGTGGTGAAATTGCTTGCGAAAGCCCAAAGGTCTCTGAAGTGATGTACTCTTCCCATCATCTTTGGACAGACCTGTATGTGAAGCAATGAAGACGTTCACCGAATCACAGGGTGGGTTCCTAGAGGACACTCTCAGATTCGCACGGGGATTCACAGTATTACTTTAACCCAATGCCATGTAGTCGTCCAGCCGAAGGGTTTAGGGTTCATAACCCTCAACAAACTTCTCCGGGTGCTGAGCGGCTACGCTGGCCTTCTCCACAGATCTTGTCGACCTGAACCCTACTGACACCGAAGGTCTGAAGCTCCATATAAGAGTTTCCGAAAATTACTGTAGGGGTACCTGATTTTTGGGGTCCTTATAATAAGGATCCTAGTATATTAGGGTCCCCTATGTTCGGAACCTCCCATATAGCGGCCGGCTAAAGTAGTACTAGTGTCCCATACGCCCTAACGTTACACCCCAATACCCCCCAACAGCATTCTTCTACTTAACAGCACTGTGATTATTACTGTCTTAATACATTGCTAGTAGTATTATCATTAATACTGTGGTTCTTGCTGTATAGTTACCATTAGGATTAGTATTGCTGTAAAGATAGTTGCTGTTCCTACTAATTTCACTGTAGCTCCGTTCTCGAGAACTTCTGAGTTTCATAGTTTTTGTCTGATATTTCAGTGAACCAATATTGTGTTCTGAGCTCCAAAGTTTCACACCTTGTAAAATGCACACCTGGGACATCTTCACCGAAGACCCCTCTATGACCTCTGTACCTGATATGCCCTCAACCCAAGCCTCTAAGACTCTGAACCCACAGCTGCCTAAACCGCTGAAGCCCTGCACGCCGAAGACTCTCACATGCCTCTAGGTATCCGCAGAGCTCCGCTTCGAGTGCCCAAGGAGTGCAGCTGTCCCTGCTGCTCTGCAGCGATTTAAACTTTCAGGGGCTTGAGGAACCGAATCTTCCGGATGTGCCAAGGTGTTTCAGCTTTTATGTTATCAGGGGTTTACAGAGGGTCTAGGTCAAATCCTCAAGGGCTCAGGTGAAATTCAGATTGAGGGGCCCCCATCTTTAGTCTAGTATCGGAAGAGCGTGCCAGGTTGGTGGTTGGGGGCTTTGTGAGAGCCAGAGGGTCAAAGACCCTGACTGCAACCCTAAAGCCCAAACCCCGACACCCCTAAACCCCTGAAGCCCAAATCCCTGTTCCGCCGGACGATCCCCCAGTTCGGGCTAAAACAGTTTGGGGCTGGGAGAGATGGAGAGATCTAGGATGGCGTTTAGGGTTCAGGGATCTAGCTTGTGGGTAGTAGTAGCAGTAGTCGTAATAATAATAATAATAGTAGTAGTAGTAGTAGTTAGTAGTATTAGTTGTAGTAGTAGTAGTAGTAGCAGCAGTAGTAATAGCAGTAGTGGTAGTAGTAGTAGTAGTAGTAGTAGTAGTAGTAGTAGTAGTAGTAGTAGCAGTGTATTTAGTAGTAGTGGTAGTAGTCGTCGTCGTTCTAGGAGTGGTAACAGTGGTAGTAGTAGTCGTCGTAGTAGTAGTAGTAGCAGTAGTAGGAGGGGTAGTAGTCGTCGTAGTAGTGGGTAGTAGTCGTCGTCGTAGCAGCAGCAGCAGCAGGAGAAGGAGGAGGAGGAGTAGTAGTAGTAGCAGTAGTAGTGGTAGTAGTAGAAGTAGAAGTGGAAGTAGAAGTAGAAGTAGTGCAAGTAGTCATAGTGTTCAAAGCTCCGGCAATCGGGGGCCTTCATGTTTTTGCTATCAGAGCTCTCGGAGTTCCGGAGCTCGTTAAGTTAAAAGTTGCTAGGGTTTATGGCGTGGATGCGGTTTATAAAGTTGATAGGGCTGATGGCCTTGATGGCAGCATCAGTGTTTGGGCTTCAGATGTCGCTCTTCGAGCTTACAGGTTGAGCAAGGTGAGCTTGCAGGGCTCTCAGGCTTTTCGGGGCTTTCGATTCTGCACCTTTCATGTCTTCTGGCCAACAAACAAGTCATAACCCATTTCGCAAGCACCTTCCCGGGGGGACTTACTGGATTGTCGCCAACGGGACAATGTTGAGAAGCCAACTATGGGAAGGAAACCGTGAGCAACTCAGCGCCCGCTGTCGTAAGTCTTCTCGCTGAGCTTTCATGAATCGCTGTCTTGATCGAGCCCTCTGCGAGAAACAAAAGTCACACTTCCCACCCCTGCAGCGACATCGAGACCATTTTCACTAAAGAAAAGCTTGGTTACTGGGTTCATGTTAAGGGATTTACTTCAAGTTACCATAATAGGGATCTACAGTAAATGATGTGGTTTCTTTGTGATGGCAACTTGAACTAAATCTCTTAGTCATTCACCTCCGTCAGGTTTTCAGAAGATATGCGAGCTTCTCGGAGCAAGAGCAAGTGAGACCGGAACGGGCCTGCAGGGTTTAGGGTTTAGGGTGTGGGGCTTGCGGAAGTGTGAGCCGCGGAGCCGTGCATGCTCCACTTCGTCCAGCGGTTAGGTGAGGTGTTTGGCAGGTTTTCTTTCCATTGCAGAGCTAGCTGCTTGTGGAGAAGTCTGAAATGACGGAAGGGTCCGAAACGATTTCTTTCACCAACAAGTATGCAGCAAGCGCATCTGGATTCGTTTCTGCAGTTGTGCTCACGTCGCTCCGTCACTGTCGGGCTGTCTGTTTGCCTGGCTGGCTATCCGAATGCATGCATTCATGCATGCATGTATGTATGTATCGGTGGATTGATGGGTGAATGGATGTCTATGTATGTTTGTCTATGTACATAGCTGTGCCTGTGTCATTCTCGGTTTATCTCTATGTTTGTATGTCTGTCTGTGTGGGTACGAATGTTTGTCGGTATAATTGTGTTTGATTGATGTTTTGTGTTCATGTGCGTAAGTATGTGTTGTGTGTGTGTGTGTGTGTATGTGTACGTACTTGTACATGTAAATATGTTGAATATGTGTTTGTGTGTGAAGAGTGCGCACATACATGAATCCAGGTACGTGTGAATGCAACAAATTCCACAGATGAAGAAGAGTAGATGGCATGAGCATAAGCTGCATAGTGGTTTGAGTATAAGCACATTGGCAGACGGCTAGATCGCACACAACACGGGAACCTGGCATCTGGGATTTCGACAGCGTGAAGATAGTGTTGGTAGCCGTGGTCGTGGACTGGGCATTCGGACACATACACGGTACACTGGTGCACTGCAGTACCAAACCTCAATCTGCTCCGTGTTCTTGCGTACAGACGTACATACGTACGTTCCCCGTTTTGCAGATGTGTGCGTACATACGTTCACCCAAGAGAAGAGCATTTTCATACGTTACTAATCATAGCAGCAACGTCATGCAAGCCAAGCATTTCAGCCCCTGCAACATCTCGGCCGCTATTGAAATTGGTATTGGCACTGCAAAGGCCCACTGCTCTAGCACCACCACCACCAATGCTAATTGCTGCCGCCGCTGCTGTCGCGCTTGGTCGCAGCGTCATGCTTGCTACCTAGACACACTCTCACACACTCACATGGCACTCACGCATATCACCAAACATTTGTCTCCGTCTGCGCGTATGTGTGTTACCAACTGATGGCGCCAAGGAAGCAGGTGAACAGCATTGGCCTTAGGTCTCCGAGGTACATAAACCGGGACAACTCCGCGAGTAGAGCGGGGAGAATACCTTGAGTCTCAGTATTGGAGTGTGCCCCTTCACCTTTTTGGGATGGTATACCCCTATATATATATATATATATATATATCGTCTGACTTGTCGAGCACGAGTGACAAACAAAAAATATATACACACACACACACACGCAAAGGTTGACCTTGATTTCCTCTATAGGATACTGGACGAATAGGAAGTTCAGCATGTACGAACAAGGGCATAAGACCTGAAATGACAGCTCCCCTATCCGCAGCCAAGGAGAGTTTGAATAACATTGTGCGCAAGGTGGGTAACACCATGACACAGGACCCTGCTTGCATCCTGCTGTCGTAAAAATCTTGAGTGTTTAATCGTAATACCCGGCCTGATATCTCAGCATCATCACTTAAACCTGGCCCTATAACCCCAATATATTCGGACCCATATTAAGAACCCTAAGAAAGACCCATATTAAGAACCCTAAGAAAGACCCATATTAAGAACCCTAATGAAGGCCCAAGGCTTCTCAATCAGGTTGCTACATTAGCGCGGGATGGGTTGAGGGTTTGGGGTCCGGAGGGCCTTGCCTTTGAGAGCAGTGACACTTCTGCTACCCCTAGGGTCAAAACATCGCATGCATTTTGTTTTTTGGGGGGAGGGGCCCTAAAGGATTTCCAGTACGATCTTGGTGGGTCCTTTTTATAATCATAGTATAATGGGCCCCCCAAAACCCCATTCTAATTGTTAAGGCCCCGGTATTAACATCGAACTCCTCGATACATCAGCTGAAACCCGTTTCAGCAGGCCTCGGGCCGAGCTAGGGCAGAGACCATGGCGATTCAGAGCCACAAGGACCTGCAACGAAGCTTTAAGCCCTCAAGTGCATCTACATCCGGAAGTGTAAAATCTTCGCACATACCTGGACCCCAGGACCCTAAAGCTCTCTTAACCTTCCAAAACCCCAAGATAGAATTTGTGCAATGTATAAGCGTTTAAACCCTAGACCCTCAGAGCACAACGTTATGGTTAAGGCAAGCAATACCGGGCAAAGAGTCCACCCAACATAGCAAATGCAGATCTAAACCCGGAACCCTACAAACCCACGCAACCATATCCACAGTGCATCCGTTATAGATGCACATGTACATTTGTATGTTCTTATGTCACCCAAAACTTCTTCCCCCGCCAGCATAGACCCCAAACCCACCGATGCCTCTAAAGCCTAAACCCTAAACCTTGAACCCTCGGGTCTAACAAAAAACCTTGAAGCCTAGACCCGAAACCCTGAACCCTAAAAGACCCTAAACCCTGAACCCTGAAACCCCTAGACCCGAAACCCTGAACCCTAAAAGACCCTAAACCCTAAAACCCCCAAACCCCTAAACCCCTAAACCCCTAAACCCCTAAACCCCTAAACCCCTAAAACCCCCAAACCCCTAAACCCCTAAACCCCTAAACCCCTAAACCCCTAAAACCCCTAAACCCTGAACCCTAAACCCTGAACCCTAAAACCCCTAAACCCTGAACCCTGAACCCTAAAAGACCCTCAATCCTGAATCCAAAATATGAGCACCAGGAGGCCAGGGGGTCGGCGGCAGAAAGCTCAGCAGGGCTCGGTCCGCAGGCGACGACAGCGCGAAAAGACGAATGTTCTTTTGGGGGTTTAGGGTCTTGGGGTTTGGGGTTTAGGGGGGTTTAGGGTTTTGGGGTTTGGGGTTTAGGGTTTTTGGGGGTTTTGGGGTTTAGGGGGTTCAGGGGTTGAGGGTTTAGGGGTTTGGGGTTTAGGGTTTTTGGGGGTTCAGGGGTTTAGGGTTTTGGGGTTTAGGGGTTTGGGGGTTCAGGGGGTTAGGGGTCTGGGGGTTAGGGGTTTAGGGGTTTAGGGATTTGGGGTGTAGGGTTCTGGCTTCGGAAGATGTTTTTTCTTGTGGATCCTGTGGTCGCATGGCACATTTTCGCCCGAACCATTGTAGTTATTAGTATCAACCTTGTTATTGTTACTGTTGATGATCTAAATCCTGCATTACCCATAATAAGGAATATGCCATAATTCCCAAAGTTTAGGGCCCTTCAGGTAATGTAGGATTTATATCATCAACCGTATTAAGGCCCCTGCGGGTCGGTTTCGGGGCCCAGAGCTACGGTTGGCATGCCGAGTCGCAAATGTCAGCGAGGGAGTTTGGGTTAAACATAGGGTGGAGGGTTTAGGGCCTTAGGCCTTTAGGGAGTTGTTTTGGGTTGAGTTCTTCTTTGGTGTTTCTGCAAGTTGAAGCCCATGCTGTTCCCTACTACAAAAAAACTAGTGTTCTGGTACTCTAAGCAGGAACTTCGAAAAGCTCTGGCGGGCATATGCTGTGGGGCCTGGTTTTTAGGTTAGGTTTTTATTTGGACGAAGTTCGTTTTGAGGTTCAAAGGCTGGCAGGTCAAACTACAACGACTCATGGAGCCTCTGGCGTGGTTTTCAGGTTTGCTTTATAGTAAGCCCCAAAAAGTTGGAAACTGGATCAAGGCCAAATAGTGCTGGGACTCCCTGTACATTACTCTTAAGGGTTGAGACAATTGGGTTTCCAACTTTTTGGCTTCTACTGTAGGGCCAGGGATCTGCTTGGGGATTTGTGAAGAGAACAGGCCTTTAGTTTTCCATCTTCTGCTGCACGAGGGTTAGTATTTAGGTTGAGGGATGTGCCTACTTGACAGAATGTGGAGTCGTTCGAATGATGTTTCGCATATGGCTCCCATGGCGAGGTGTGAGTAGTTGTGTGTCTTCGACCTACAGTAGAAGCCAAAAAGTTGGAAACCCAATAGCCTCCATCCTTGAGAGTAATGTATAGGGAATCCCAGCAGTATTTGGCCTTAACCGGTTTGAAACTTTATGGGGGTTACTGTAGCCAGATCAAGAAAGGCCGCTGACTCCAGGAGCCCAGACCTAAGCGGAAATACATCCGAGAACCTGAAGGGCACGCTGCAACGCCAGAACCCCAATGCTCGCCCGCGCCCTGTGTAAAGCAGTATAAAGGCTCTTGAATGTAGCTGCTTCCTTCTTTGCGACACGAAGGTTTCGTATGCATGGCAGAAATGGTGACGAGGTTTGAACAGCGGCATCAGAAATAGCACGCGCACGGTCGCATCTAATAATGCGATAGCATGAGATGCTGCATCTCCACAGGTGAGCCTCCCTGCTTCTGCACCGATGCCCGGCTGCAGTGAGAGCCTTTTGTAGGAGTTTCAAAACCGCTTAAAGGTAAGCTGAAACCATGTCAATCGACATGTTTTTTTTGGATTCAGGATGTAGCTTTGCTTTAGGTCCTGTGTCCCTTTGGGGGTATGAGGTCCAGCTATGCTTGTTGGCTGCTGCGAGCGTGGAGGGATAGGGGGCACCGGAGCGCAAAGAATCGAACATGTTCAGTTTGGGACAGGTTGACATTCCCAAAGGGTCCTAGGTACTGTTATGGGGGATACTCCCCTAAGTCATCATAGTAATTCCTCATATGGAAGCCCTACATTCTACTATATCGGTACATAGGACCCTTTGGGATTGAGTTCATTCCAGTCAACCGCAGTGTAGCCGGACCGAGAGGCTGCCCCAAAATCCAAGCCATGGTCTGCAAGGTAAAGCTAGAGAAGTTGTTTCCCACAGCTGACTGCAAATGCACAGAAGTTTCGCCCTGCAACCTAATATAGGGGCCTTAAAATAGAATAGGGTTTCGGGGCCCATTATACTCAAAGTTATAATCAAAATCCTTCAAAATAGCATAGGTAGTATTGAGGACCCTACGTTAATCCACCTTGGCAGCACCCTCCAGTTCTGAGAAATCTTGAACCACCGCATTAGTGAGACCGATCCTTATCTCGAACATATCCGATGTGACCAAGCCTGGGGCCCCAAGGCAAGGTTTAGGGTTTAGGGTTTAGGGGTTTAGGGTTTAGGGTTTTAGGGTTTAGGGTTTAGGGATTAGGCCCGTGCAGAGTCGGGTGAACACGAAAGGCCGCGATGCAAGGATCTGGCTAGCCCCATTGAAATCTTACGCCGTACTTGTAATTACGTAAAGCTTGAACCCTATCCCTAAGCCGAAGTTTCCAATGCGACTTATGGAGGACGTTGCGACCCGCTCTTGCCACCGTCGCAGCCCCAACTTGGACTTGGAGTGCACCCGACGTGTGTACGATTCCGATGGTTTTCCGTGCCCTCAGAGCGAAGGAACCCGTGTGAAGTTTGGCCGGTTTGGCCTTGAGGATATAGGGGTTCAGACTTTTCTGGGCGCAGGTCTGGGGACCTGTGCTACCAGGTGCTTATGTTGAACTTGTTGTCTGGCAATGTCTATAGTTGAGGTGCCTGGTCTTTATAATTTCCGTTTCCTCAACATAAGCAGGCGGCGTTCTACGATGATGTATGAGTGGTTTACTATAAGGGCCTGAATGATTACCTATGCTATTTTGTTTTCCGGGGTGTCCTTATTCATAGTATAATATATCCCATGCAAAACCCTATTGTAGATATGAAGACCCCTACATTATCTATCATCGTTATCCGGCATTGACCTCAAAGCCGAAGTTCTGAAGCCAGAGATCCAACATCACCACGTGCCCGGGCCGCCTGTAGCAGGACAGGGCTTGGACTTCTACATAATTGTCTAATATCTCTCTCTATACATATTTGTATATATATATATATATAGAGAGAGAGAGAGAGAGAGAGAGAGTCAGAGCGAGTTCGGTTATTGTTATTGATGCATGTGCGTTTCAGTTGGCGTAGTTAAACAACTGTCAGTGCATGACACGTATGCGCAGGCATAACATGTATTTGCTTGCTTGTCTGTTTTAATTAATGTTCCTTTATCTGCTGATGTATGTTCATCTTATTTGTCTACAGATGTTTATCTGTTCACTCGTCCATTCACTCATTCACTCACTCTGCATTCATGCGTTTATACATTCATCCCATTCATGCGTTCGTGCGTTCATGAAGTTTTTGTTTTCGTGCCAAATGTGTTGACGTCTATGTTCGCTTGCTTGTTCCTTCGCTTGTTTGTTGCATCTACACATCCGCATGTGCATATGTGTATATGACATGAGTCACTAATTACATACGTGCATACATATGTTCGTATGTATGTACCTACATACCTACATGCATACACACACAACGTCACGATGTGAATGTGCGTGTCGTTCCCTGAGGTTTCTGGGTCATCCGTTCCGCCCTCGCAAAGTTTGGGGCCATGTGTTCAAGGCAGGTCATGCTGCACCCCGTGACTCGCCTTCTGCAAGTGCATACTGTGACTCAATTGCTTCACCTATGCACACCTCAAGCAGATGCTTGTGCAACTTAGGGGCAGCCAGGATGTCGAAAAAGCTGGGGCAGCGTGCATCTTGTCCCAAGACCCTACGCACCGCACCCTCAATGGGGCCTTGTTGAACATTTCAGACGTTTAGAAGTCGACCGTATTTTGCAAGTCTCAGCCCCAGAGCCCCATTGACCATAACCGCGACGCGCTGATCTTGGGATTCTCAACTCTTTTTGCTGGCGTTTTGTTAATTTCTATACCTAGTTCTATACTTTTGCTTGCTGTTGCTATTGGTAGTTGTTTGTAAGTATTGTTGTTAGTGTCGTTGTTGGGTTTCTTATGTCTGTCAGGGATTATTTTTTCAGTTTGGTGAAGCTGCTACGTGCCTGACAAAGCGAACAAGATCCATTCTTGCTCTAGCCCATCTAGCGGCCATCGCAAGGCAGAGGTCCTAAACCCTAAGCCCTTCCTGCAGGATCTAATTATGCAGCTTCGTCACTGCCACTGCGGCCTTCGTATTCGACGCAACGCCAATGAACGGGGAGAGTGCAAAAGAAAAGCCACACCCTTGCGAAATGAGCTTTGTGGGTTTAGCGTTCGAAGTTGTTCGGCTTCGCACTGTGTGAATTACATACACATATGTACATATGTATATACCCATCTATATATATATATATGTATATGTATGTATATATATACACACATTATGCATCTATGTCTATTTCTTCGGGACGGAGTGCCTGACAAGTTTCCTATCTGAGGAACGGGCTGAGGGAAATAGGTCAAGGGTAAGCACCTAAACCCTAAACTGTTAGGGATTGAGAAGCTTTATCTGAACCCTTAACTCTAAACTTTAGGGGTCAGGAATCTCTAAACCCTAAACCAAACACTTCAGATCTTCTGATGCCGGAAAGGCTCCAGTTTGAGTGAATGACCCGAGGACCTAACAGGGGCAATAAAGCGGTTTAGGGTTTAGGGTCTCGTAGTCGGAGCGCCGAGTCTTACGAATATATTCCCGGACTCATTGTTCCACGTACCGTAGTATTACCTGTACAGTACCATTTATTCCAACCAATACCGCCCCGTTTTCCTAGGGCTCCCTGTTACCACTGTAGCTATTGTAGCTTTGGGGTATACCAAAGCCCTGTTCTAGTTATCGAGGCCTCTCCATTACTTTCTTAAAGAACACTCAGTGGGTCGGGAAGTTACTACCCAGAGGCCCCATAGTAGTTCCTTTTTGGGGTTACCTTATATGGTTCTATATACGAACCCCAAAAAGGAACTGCTTTGGGCCTTTGGGTAGGACCAACCTCGACATCCCAGTCTCACTTGCCACCTGCGCCCTCTCAGCCGTTCGAGCTCTCAACAGGAAGTTCACCATCAAGGCTTTCAGCAAGGACTTGTTGCAAGAAGGACGTTGAAAGTAGATGTTGACCGGGAGTTAGCAGCAGATGCGACACCAAGTGTTGAGGCCCCAAGGATATCTTATTTGCTGCGTTGAGGTTGGGAATTTGAAAACATGACGCTCCTTGGTTTAGGTGGGTTTAGGGTGGTAAGTGTGGTGATAGCTTTCCGCACATGTCCCCTGGGCATGGCTGCCAGCATACACTCAAAGTCCGTTCTTAAAAAAAGGGTTTCTCAACGCCCTAAGCCGTAGGGGGCGAGAATTCAGAACCCTAGTTAAGACGCGAAAGCCCCACAGCCCAACACCTCGGCTCCTTCGTCGGAATGGCCCGGGACTGTTGCTCTTTCCCAGCTTCGAGACGAGTGGCAAAAGCCGGTCATGGAGGTGGAGATAGAGTTCACAATAGTGCTTTGGGTGTTTATCTTTGTCCCATTATTGTTGTCATCTTCAGTGATAGTGCTCTTCTTATTGGTGGTGGTGGCGGTGCTGGTGGTGCTGGTGGTTGTCGTCGTCGCAGTTTTTCGGGCTGCTTGATTTCAATGTGGGCTTTGGACTGTTTGCTTGTGTTGATTTTCGGGCGTAAGGTTTTTTTGGCATTGTGTCTGGAAGTAAGATGTGTCTAGCCTGCAGAATGCATCGTATTCAACATGGGTGATGATTGCCAAGTAGACACGTTTTGCGTTTCAAGCTTTCCTGCTTTGGCCGCTGTGGAGGGACCCAAAATAGTACAGGTAATTATGAAGGCCCCTGTATTACAGTACCCTTATAGACCCCCTTTAAAGGAACCCTAGACACCCTATAGGCCCCTACAGTACTGCCTGCTTTGGCCGCTGTGAAGGGCTTGAACCCCCAGCTTCCAGACCGCCCTGACCCCAACCTCTTAACCCTTCCACACCCTGAACACCCACCCAGACGTCCAAGTACTCCCTATTATAGGACTTTGGGGGTATCAAAAACCAATCAAACAAGGACTACTTGGGCCCTTAGGGCAAGCCTCCTGCATAGAATCCTCTGCGGCGTAAATCCAAAATTCCCCCCGAGACCTCGAGCCAGAAGCGCGCAAAAAGCAGCCAGTACTAGAGGGGCCTATGGGGTTTCTATGGTTCCGTTAAAGGGGTCTATAAGGGTACTTTATAATAAAGGGGCCTAGTAAATACCTATACTATTTTGGGGGCTCCTTATTAAAAAATATGGTACAATGCGCCCCAAAGCCCTAATTATTAGGGCCCGTATAGTAGCCCCCAAACACCAGTCAGTTGAAGGCCAGCTCCAGTCGCGCCCGGGCGCTCTGCCCCTCATTTGCAAAATGTGCGGTGCATTGCGGAGGGGTCTTCTGCCAAAGTCAGTAGCATTCACGCGACGGCAGAAGACCACCAAAAAATACCTACTCTGACACGGACGTCGGAATCACTACAAGTAGCATGCCCCTCTATTGCTTCTTTTCGCCATACTTTTACATGCCCCCAAACCCTACTTCCATTATTAAGCCTGTTTGTTTAACCGGACGCATCGCACGACCCAGCTGCAGGACCAGCTGGAGGCTGGCAAGACGGAGACTAGAGTTAATCACTGTTATGCGGTTTGGTTCTGCAAGCAGGGGCCTCGGACCCTAAACACTACAGGGAACTCCAGAAAGTTGGAATATGGTTTCATGGTAGGATACCCTATAATTTACCATAGAAGGGTTTAGGATAATCATACTCCAACTTTCTGGCTTTTACTTTAAACCCCTAAACCCTTGGCGTGTCCTAAATGGTGTTTGACAGCTGATTCTTGTGTCTAAATGAGACATGGGAGTCTCTTCGCTCTGGTGATAAGTGCCAAGGTGTTAGTTAACGAAGGACCAGGATCGCTACAGACCTTGCCAGGCTTTGTCCGAGTGTGAGTGTCAAAAAACCCCTAAACCCTAAACCCCTGAACCCTAAACCTTTTACGACACCCAGAGCCCAGCTGCAAAAATAAAGTATTTTCAGGAGTGGCGTGAGCATGTCAGGTGGGTGGAATAGCCTTGAACCTTTGGGAACATTGAGTCTTGGATGGGCCCCGCCATAAGTACATACACATGTGGGTGGCTGTCAAAATTATGGTCTCTTTTTAGTACGGCACCTACTATTTAGGGTACCCAATTAGGGACGCTAATTTTGACAACTACCCACATGTATGTCTTCGGTTATATCGGTTTATCGGACGATTGCTGTGTCCAGAAGCTGGAGGCTGCATATGGGGGGAGCTGCGCGGCATCCTGGCGACCTTGGAGAGTCTCCTTGGCCAAGTGCTCGCCGTTCGACTGTGAAGTTTGCAGCTTGAAAGACCCAAAGGGTCTTAAATAAGTGCCTAAGTATAGTGGCATGTTGGGTTTCTATATCAGAAAGTACTACTGTCTTATCATTTGGGGAAGTATACGCCGTAATGGTAAGCCAGAAATAATCAACGAGGCTCCGAAAGCCCCGAACCCGAAAGCAAAACTTTAGAAGCCCTGGGGCTGAAACTAGGCATCGTAACCTAGATTCCGTCTGGGTGCGACTTCGTACTTCGTAGGGGTTTAGGAGCCACGGCTTGCCCGATGCCGGAAGTTCCGGATGAAGTCTAAACTGACGAACTCCTGCAGCATCCAGGTATCCCCCTTAAGATTTGTGGCTTGTAATTCAGGCTTGTAGGGCTTTGGTTTAGGAAAGCATTGCCAAGAGAGCCGAGATGAAGAAAAATAGGGTTCGGATTGGGTACTATAGGGGCCTAAAGAATTACCTATACTGTTTTGGGGAGTTTCTTACTATAGCTATACTGTGATGGGTCCCAAAACCCTATTCTAATTGTTAAGGCCCCTATATGACGTGGAGTTGGTTTCAACATATTGTAGGAGTTTCCGAAAATAGGGGACCCTAAAATAATGTCCTAAATAGTAGGACCCTTATTGTAGGGACCCCCAAATAAGGTCCCCTAATTTTCGGAAACTCCCATACGAGCTCTAAGGGGCTGAGGGTTGCTTTGCAGGGTTACTAGGATGCCCAGTAGTACCCTTATTCCCTTTTTGTAGTCCTAGGTTGCTAATAAAGTTACCCAATACCAATAACGGAGCCCTTTCTATTCCTAGGCATCCTAGGTTACAACCGACTGAGGAGCCAATGGGCGCGGAGCTTTTGGTCGTGGCACAGCGTGCACTCGAGGAGGGCGCGTGCTTGATTCAGGATTCCGGAGGTCGGCTTGAGAACTTTCGAGTTGTGGAGTTGCTTGGCAGCTGCATGTTCAAAGACGCATTTTTGTTGCTTGCGGGCTTGTCTTCGTAGCTTGTGATAGACAATTACTATACCAAGACTATGTTGGGGGCTCTTTACTATATATGGGCCCCCAAACCCTATTCCAAAACGTATGCACTTTCTTCGCCCTGGTGACTGCGACGCCAAGTCGGGGTCGCCAGAGGATTCTCAAATCTACCACATGGGAATCACGGTTCAGCATGGCAGTCTTTGCAAAATGTATTCTGTGGTCGGCAAAGGCATGCTTACAGGCAGAGAGGGTTTCGAAGTGGGTGGTTGTCAAAATTATGGTCCTTTTCTGGGTCCCTACTATAATACGGCACCTATTATTTAGGGTACCCACAAAGGGACTTTAATTTTGTCAACTACCCAAGTTGAATACACGCCTCAATAATGCGCAGTGCGAGGACGACCATCAGCGATGCCAGGCCATCCGCGAACGTCTCGGAGACCGGCTTTTGTTTGCAGAGCTCTACGCCGCGTGGCAGATAGTTTCCCCAGTGCTGCTTTTCTTATAGTAGAGTAGGTAACCTTTAACCTTCTTGGGTAGTATAGTCCCTATATTACTATTTGGGGTACTATATTAGGGTCCCCTATTTTCGGAGACTCCCATATGCTGAGTTCCGTGTTCCGTGCCCGGATCTCAACTTCTGAAAGCGGAAGACAGGGCCTGAACTCTGAAACCTCCGAAGTTCAACTGGGTTGTCCTTTGGGATCTTTTTTAGTTTCCCCTACTATTTTGCAGAGAACCATAATAGTAAATAATTTTCAAAGGGCTTAAAGGACAACTCAGTCGAGAATAGCCTGGGAAAGTTTGGTATGCGATTGATAGAAGGTGTATTATCTGGGATTGTATGCACGGCTTTGGGGTTTCTTCCTGTCTGGGGTTCAAGGTGTCGAGGGCCCGACAAGCTCAGCAATAGCCACCGAACTAGGCCCCCCCACTCTTAACCTTGTCGAACCCTGGTAGTACCCTTCTGGGGCAGTGTAGAAACTCTGGTAGCAGCCCGAGCCCGAAACGATTCAGGACAAGCCGGATCCCGAGATCTTCTTCGGCGATGGCAACTTCGAGCCACGGAGACATCGATGTGGTTGCCATAAGATATGGCCTCTAGACTCTAGACCCTATAAACCCTGAACCGTTTTCAAGCCGTGCCCTCGTGCGAGTGTGCGTGTCGAAACCGACGTCCGTCCGAGTGTAAGCACCGAAACCGATGTTGCGTTTCGGATTTGCGGTTCAGTGCGGGTTGGGAGCTTGGGGCTCCAGTTGATGGATTGGGCTTCCGGGTTTGAGGGGGGGGGGGATCCCAAAACGATGTCGCGGGGAACATCCTGGCAACACTGTTCTCACCTAGAGCAGTCTCGGCCGGGAGCTTAGAGTCTTGGTGTCTTTTGAGTTTCCTCAAACTGAGCTCGGTGCGGGTTTCAGCTGAAAAAAACATGCCAAAAACACGAACACCAGAAGCCCGAACAATCGTGTATTTTTGGGGATCTGATTCTCTTCAAGCAAGGCTTATAGCAGCAATAATCATCCTAACGATGGTAATGATGACAAGAAGCAGTGGAATGCGTCCCTCCTATGTAGGTTCCCGTCATTCAGCCTTTAGCCGGTGAAGGAGCCCTAAGAGATCCTTTATCAAAGGGGAAAAGGAGGGGCCCTTGATGGGGACCCCTACCCTATAATGGGCTATATGATGGGTATATAATAGCTATATTAAGGGTACATACCTAATTAGGGGTCCTTATTAGGGGTCCCTCCTTTTACCCTTGGACTTTAGGGGTTCCTTCAAAGACACCCTGGTCCTTCGCGCCTGAGATTTTGCTCCTATGTCTGCAGGGCTCCTGAATGTTGAAGTTGTGCTCCGCGTGCTTCGCAGGAAAGATAACCTTCGAGACAGGGTATAATGGTCTGTGGAGGCTTTGTTCAACACCTGCCGAGGAAGACATGTCCAAGATCAAGGGAAACTGGATCAATGCCGGGAACACGCAGGTGCTGGGTGAAGCAAGCAGTGAGTTGGGCCCCAACGGTGTGCTAATCCAGAGGGTTTGCATCGTGCTATCATTGAATGAATAGGAGCAAGGGTGGAGGATATTGGAGGAAAGCGCATGTCGGCACATGTGTACTTGGCGGTTTGTACTGAAAGCAAGACCCTTCTTTCTTATCCATCCGACTAACTCCCGAACAAACTGCACAGTTTCTGAGACCACCCATGCCCAGGTTCTCATCAATCATAAGATTATCGCTGACCTGCTTTCGTCGAAGGGGCTGCTTGATCGCTACGATCTCTTCATGCTCCCTGGCTGGCCTCAGGTGAGAGCAAAATGCGACATTTCTGTGTTTGTTTTACATGGTGTTCCCGAGGCCTTGTATAGTTTCAGAGGGCCATTCTAACGGGCACATGAAGTCTGAGCTGTTTCCAGTAAGTTGTGGTTAGTATTTTCGAGCTTGTAGCGACCGTCCCGCTATGCGGTGGATGCCTAGTTTTGCACACATAATGCAAGACCTAAAACCCAACACTTTACAATTAACTTTACTCTTTACATACCCCGCACAGTTATACATGTATGCAATTCAACACAAGCCTGTTCGTATGTATGCATGTATGTCTGTCTGCAGCACGTATACACATATGCACACATGTACGTACGAACGTATTTACACATGTGTATATGTATGTTTATGTGCAAGGTTCAAATCCAAACTTCAAAGAACAACCAAACCAGAACAGGTTCTTGACACGCACGACAACGACGCGAAAGCTCCTGAACGTATGGAAACGAGACGCAGCCCACAGACACCAGATGTAACCAAACCTCAACACCTTCTTGAGACTCTCCGATACTACATGTCGAAGATGGATAAGACGCTGGATGGCCCTGCTGGCTTCTCGAGCGCCCAGAGCTCAGGTTCACAAGGTCGGATTTCGTGCATCTCATCCCTTTTCCGCCGGCTGGGGATCTTCTGCGGTGCGTGGGGCGTGGCGATGTGCTCACGCAAGCTGGGCACGAGTTTGGAGGACTATAGGGCACTTAAATCTTGGGGCCTGCATTATCCGAAGTTGATCGTTTGGTATGGTTACATAGGGTGTTATGCATGTTGGGTACTGCACTTAGACCCTATAAACCCTAAACCCTACTAAACAAAGATTGGACAGTTTCGGGCTGGCTGACTTGGGGGTATTACTGCTGATCATTAAGAAGCCCTGTGCTAGCACCGTAGGTTCCGGGTTCATGGATTCCAGACTCCTAACGTAGGAACCTGATGAAGAAACCCTGGGCTTAGAAACCCAGAACAGTAGGATTCATGTAAGGAGCCCTAATAAAGGCCCAAGGTTTCTTAATCAGGTTCCTACAGAAGATCGCAGTGCCTAAACCCTAAACCCTGAACAGTGTTTTGTTGTAGCGTCTGCACTGTCTAAGCAGTGGCAGAAGCTTAGTTAGGAGCCAACTTGGGCAGACGCACAAAGAAGGCCGTCAACCTAACTTGAAACAAAAAAAAGAACAGCTAGGGCCCTAGGCCGTAAGTAGATCGCTCCTGGCCTTCCTGGCTAACTTCCTGTGGATAGGACCAGAAACAATACATTCCACGACCCTAAACCCTGCTAGCCTAGTCTAGGGGCTTCATTAATAATGACCTATACTATTTTGGGGGGTTCCTTATTCTAAGTGTACTATAATATACCCCCAAACCCTATTCCAATTATTAAGGGCCCTATAGTACACCGCAGCCAGGAGTGAACTACAACCTGGCCATCTCAAGAGCAGATACGGCCCTTCGATACCTCCTTGCCCCCTACGAGACGATTGTGCCTGGAGAATGCAACATAAGGTCCTTCATGGCCACGCCTCTGCTAGCGTCTGTCTACCTCCATGCCTTCATTTTGCATAGTAGTCCGAAAGTGTTGCAGCCTTCTTGTGAACTTGGGTGATTTACCCCAACATCGGCGCTAATCAAAGAGCCCTTGTAGCAACTTGGCAGGCACTGCAGTCCGAATCGAAGAGGTTACTTAGCGAGGCCGAATAGGGACGAGATTGCGGTTTACATTACCTACACGAGCCTGGCTAGACTCGAACATTCTCCCGCCTTATAGGACTCAGCCCCATCTGTGAACCTCCAAATGAGTAGCTGCAGATGCTGAGTGTTGAATTTCAGTGATCGAAGCCCAGATCTCTAAGCTCCAGGTCGTTGAGTCCTAGTCTGAAGACCTCGGCGAAATCCTTAGATGCAAAGCTTGTCAGCCTTGTATGGCGAATCTTTGCAGCAGTACAACAATCCCCCCCCCATACTCTAGAATCCACCTGAATGTATCCAAGGTGAGCAGATCTTTGCCCAACCGGCAGAAAACCTACAACATCGAGCTCTTCTGGCGCGTGCTCCAGTCTGAGAAGCAGTCTGAGAAGTCTGGGCTCCTTCCTTTTGCAGGATATTGCGATTTGGATATGAGATTTTGATGGTTCAGGGGTGTTTATATTGGGTTCCGGGACCAAGGGTTTAAGGCGTGCAGTAATTTGTTATCGGTTCTGGTCTCCCTCCTTTGCGTTCGGCGCAGGGGCTTTGCTTCATGCCTACCTGAGCTGGCACACTCGGCTTTGTGGCATTCCCCCTGAACCCTAAGTTTACGGCAAGTTTAGAGTTCAGGCTCCCCGTCCTTAGGCTCATCGTTTCGCAGTTGCTACGCAGTATGTGGTCCGGGACCCAGCCCTGGGGAAGACTGCAAAGAACTTGGCACATCGGAACCGGAGGACATCTGAAGCAGCCAAGCCCTAAGTATACGAATTGTGGAGACAATATGGATGAGCCGATGAGAATGGAATTTCGGAGTGGAGACCATATATTGCCCTAAATAAACCTCAACCCTGCGCCTTTATCTAAAGAAGCGTATAGACCCTACATAGGTTGTGAAGCCAGATCACCTTTGAAACCCGCCACCCTGAAGCCTAGGCCTCTACCCTCGGCAAATAGAAGCCAGGTCATCTTTGGTCAGAAGTCTCTCCGAAATCTCCGAATGCCCATCACCTGCTTCGTGACGGCCGAGTCGACGGACGATCGGACCTCCTGGCGAAAAATCCAATACTCAGAGGCCGCACCCCCTTGTAGGAGCCATAAAGCAAGCCTTTAAAGGTACCCCGATTTGAACCGACAAAGGTTTGAGGGTTTTGGGGTCGAGTTCTGTTCAGAGAAGTGGGCCACAGGTTCCCTTTGAGACTCAAGGTGGGTTTGTTTAGGATTTCGGTATGTAAACTTTTCATATTGCTGGGATGCAGACAGGCGTTCCAAGTTTTGCTGTGGTACCCCCAGGTCGTTGTAAATGCATTACATGGGTCTTGGATTTTGGGCAGCGCATTGGGGTTTAGCCCCTGCAGGCTGTAAGGTCGGGGAATTTTTTTAAAATACTATGTCGCAAGTACCTAAATATGTTGGGTACGGCCCCCACTCAGTAACAGTTGGATAATATTCATAATATAGATGTATACGGCCCTTAACAGTAGCCCTATTATAGACTGTTACTGTATGGGGGCCGTACCCCAAAAAATATGCATAAACTGCATACGAAGAGCGCCCAGGTACACTTACATTCAAAAAAGCCTCTGACGCTGTAGCACAATATCTTGAGGTCCACGAGGGATCTTGGTGGGAGGATTTCGATTTGGTGTTGCTGCGAAGTATTCGATGTGGTGGCGCGTTCGAGAGGGCTTGGGTGCATTGAGCTTGAAGCTACTGGCTTTGCTGGGGTCTGGGAACCCTAAACCCTACCTATAGTCTCGGTTGTAGTTCCTTGTTTTGGTTTAACCAATTTTACATTAAGGATCCTTAAAGGTAACCTCAGGAAGGAGCTACAATGGAGACTATAGGTAAACCCTCAACCGGTTTAGGGTTTAGGGTTTTCTGGTCCTGACGCCCGGCCAAGATAGCATCAAGAAAGTCGGGCCTTTGATTGCATTTCACCAGAGCCAGGCACTCTTAAGAATGGAACAACTAGCCCTTGATATTGGAGGAGCTAAGGAGCCAGGGATGATGATCATTCCGATTTAATAAGGAGCTAAAGAGCCAAGGGAACCCCAAAACCACTGGTTAGACAACAATCCTCTCCTAAGCTCCCGCCTCAGCTTTCCCTTGTTGATGGCCCACGCCTGCATTTGCTCTTCAGGAGCACCAAGTGTTGTTCAAGTACGAAGTGCAGATGGAAGACACTCTGTCGCAGAAGGGTGGCAGACGATACGAACGGGGTTTAGGACTCTGACGACGGCCTCGAAGGTAATCATTTCTGATCTGAAGCCCATGAGATTCACCCACAGGTAAGCAGGATATGTAGTCAAAGCTCAAAGCCCATACGCGCGAAATCTTCACCTACAGTTATATAAGCAGAATCTCAGTCCAAGCCATACAACCCAAGCACAACATGTAACGGACGGGAAGAACACAAGGTTTGGCAACCCTGTAACTTGTCTTTCAACCTGCGCCCTCAAGCTTAGGCTGGCGGGGGTTTAACCTACGCGTCCGTGATCGGTCCATGTACCCAAATAGCATACACATATTTTGGCCGGGCTAGTCCCTTGATTGTTTTTTGAGGCCAAAGCATGTGATATCTGAAGACATGCGCCCTAAGGTTTAGGGTTTGGTTGCGGTGCAAGGAAGCCTTCAGCAACCAGTGCGCTTGGAATCGCCGCCCTGACACTTGGTTGCTGATGTTGATGATCTTGCCACCGTAAATCGTAGGTGAGTGTTGGGAACGGGGGGATCATGGTAAGCATTGCTGAAATCTACGTCTCGCCCGGAAGCAAACCCGAGACCCAGCTGATGAGCTCTAGGTTACAAGTCCGAAAAGCAACCGTGCCAGTTCGATAGAAGTCTCCAGCACTACATGTCAAATCCAGCGCACTCTGGCAGAATGGAAGCGAAGCTACTCTGACACTCTGACATAGCATAGTATCGTATCGTAGCGTAAAGCCGAAGCTTCTCCAACGGCAATCTATTGTGGATTTGCTTGTACCGTATATCACCATTAGCTTGAGACCCTGTGCAGCATGGCAATGATGTGTCCATCCCAGCATAAACGCAAGGCAGACTGTTTGGGATGCGAGTGCGGCGTAGTACACAGAAACTCTGGAAGGACGCCGGAAGCGTGAGACCCGAAAAGCGCAAAACTCTCCCGAACCTAAACCCCTAAACCTTAAACCCTAAACCCCTAAACCCCTAAATCCTAAACCCTTTTCCCCTAACCCCTAAACCCCTAAACCCTAACCCCTAACCCCTATAAGCCCTACGCCTGAGGCCCGAATCTCATAAACCCTGGATCTGAAATCTGAGCACTGAACACCACCCTACAGCAACCTTATTTTGGGGGTTCTTATAATAAGGATCCTACTATTTAGGGTCCTATATTAGGGTCCCCTATTTTCGGAAAATATAGTAAACCCCATAAAGTTGGAAACCGGATCAAGGCCAAATAGTGCTGGGGTTCCCTATGCATTACTCTTAAGGACTGAGGCTAAGAGGTTTCCAGCTTTTGGGCTTCTACTGTGAGCCCTTTGAGCCCCGAAATCCTCAGGAGTGGACGATTCTTCGACCTCCTCTCGGCCTGCAGGTGACGGAGGTGTCATCCGGTTGTTGATGTTTTTTTTTGGGGGGGGGTGTGGTGCATACACTTTGTTGACTTGGGATTTCCTTAGAGTTGTATATATATATACAGATATACCATGCTGAGTCAGAACCGAACCAAAACCCGAAATCCTTTGTTCGGGCATTTCGTTGTTGTTGGTCCACGGCTTTTTGGAGAGCTGGCATGTGAAGTTGCGCGACGAAGCCCCGTACTTTCTCATCCTAAGCCATATAACCGAAAGCCTACAAGCCCTATAGATGCGAAGCCCTACTGTACTGTATGAGCAGCAAGACCCCACCTTCCACCCGAGCTCCGACGTCTCGGAAGCCCCCGATCCCAAGCCTTTCGGCTTAAAAAGCGGGTTTAGGGATGGAAGGGTTAGGGTTTAGGGTTTTGGAGGTTAGGGTTCAGGGCTTCTTGTTGGTCGAGGGTGCAGGAGTCCTGGCCAGGATGGCTAGGAGCTGTTGCCCGTCACTGTCGCAAGAACAGCATGCCAGGTCCGAATGCGAGCGCCAAAAGTCTATGAGTCTATAAGTCTTAAACGCAAAGGCCCCTAATTCAGGAACAGATTATATAAATATAAGGGTGATTCATATGATGATTTAGCCCTATATTGCTTGCTTCAGAGGTATTGAGCTCTCTGGGGATGGGCCCATGCCAAGAACCCTAAAGGGAAAAAACCGAAACCCTACAAAAAACTCTAAAACCCTAAAGCCTTAAACCCTGAAGCCTAAAGCCCTAAAGCCCTAAACCCTAAAGCCCTAAAAAGGCCCACGGCCAAGCACGTCGGCTGTTCGGCTTGCAGCTAGCCGAGACGGTGCCGGAGCGAGCCGCACAGGTGACTCCGACCGGCCCTGGGGATTTGGAGCTTCGGGATCGTGTGAGCGCTCCATCAACAAAAATTAGGGTTTGGGGGTTTAGGATTTAGGATTTAAGGGCTCGCTAAAGGGATGTATAAGGGTTTAGGATTTAGGGTGTAAGGGTTCGCCAAAGTTCGCTAAAGGGATTTATAAGGGTTTAGGGGTTTAGGATTTAGGGTTTAATGGTCGCTAAAGGGATCTATAACGGTTTATGGGCTTAAGATTTAGAGTTTAAGGGTTTGCGAAAGGGATCTATACGGATTTATGGGTTTGAGGCTTCTGCAAGAGAGACCTCGTCCAAAAAAAGCTCCTGCAAAGGTGCCTTTGGGTTCCTTTAATGTACAGTAGAAGCCAGAAAGTTGGAACATAAGTTTAGGAGGATTAGTGCTAGGATCTCTTATCCTTTACTTTAAGGGCATGAGGATACTAATGTTCCTACTTTCTGGCTTCTACCATAAGGTTCCTAGGCGGTGTGCTTCAAAAGGCCTTTTAAGGGTTCTATGCTGTTGGCGCTTGTGCCAGGATTCCATAGGGCATTTCCGAACCTAGGGAGCATTTGGCTATCCCAAGTTTAGTTATGTGAGGTAGTGGTTTAGTCGAGTTCATTGTTTAAGGCTGAGTTATAGAGGGTTGCGGCTTAGTCGGGTTTTGGGGTTTCTGAAATATTGAGGGCCGCATCCAAAAGCGCTATGCCAAGGACGTCCTGGAAGGACGTCCTGGGTTGTTGGATTGCTTAATCAATCATGCAGGGACATGCCGAAAAGCTATCATTGAGTTCTCTAGCGTTTCCCTTGTTGGGGGTTGGTATTTGCTTGTACGGATGTCATATAGTTACAGAAACAGGATGGGCTCTGTGAAGCCTGCGCCGCCTCTAATTCGGCATCAGGGGCAGGAGTCGGGGTACAAGGGTGCAGAAACCCTAAACCCTAAGCCCTAAACCCTAAACCCCAAACCCCAAACCCTAAACCCTAAACCCTAAAAGGGGTATGGGAAGTTAGAGCAGCTGTTGGGATTTATGGCTCGTGTCCTGGTTCATGATTCTCTTTCCCCATATGACACGCTGCTGCATCGCTGACAATTGAAGGGGACCGTCGCGTGATTTATTGTACAAATGCAACAAGTGGTCGTGGGCTTGGATCCCACATTCCCTGCTATAGAGACTCGGAGCATGCAAGCATGGAAGCATGCTTCGCACGCTCAGCGAATACAGCGCCCGGAAGTGTAACTTCCCGACGTCTCAGAACTGAACTAAAACTAAGATGCCCAATAGTACCCTTGTTCGCTTCTTGTAGTCCTAGATTCCGTATAAAGTTACCCAATACCAAAACGGGAGCCCTTTTTATTCCTAGGTTAGTGGGCATCCTAGAAAATCTCGGGTTAGCTGTCTAGTGGCTCGAAGCGGTAGTGAAGCGGGCGTGGAGGCTCCCGGGCCGGGTGGATAAAGGTTTTTGGGTTTAGGACGGGTTTGTTGGGCGTGGGTCTTCAATGCTCTAGAGTCTGGCGTCGCGTCGATCTGCGAAACCCAAAGCCCAAGCCCTGACATCTTCGAAGCACTCTCATCTCATACAAGTGGGAGTTTCCGAAAATAGGGGGACCCTAATATAGTACCCTAGATAGTAGGATCCTTATTATAAGGACCCCAAAATAAGGTACCCTAATTTTCGTAAACTCCCAAGTGTACAGCACCGGAGAAGAGTTATCCTCAACCCCATAACACGGTAGGATCTTGGGAAACCCGATGCAGGTTCCTGTGAAGGAAGGGCCCTCTTTGGCGGCCCCTATGGCGACGCTTCGAGTAAGCGTTCAAGTAACCCTGATTGAACCCGGAAAGGGTCCCCCCGTTCAAGTGACCATACTAACCCTGAATACAACCTTTAAAGAATCCTCAAAGAACCCTTAGCTGAGTCCCCCAAACCCTAGACTTAAGCCCTCATGTTAGTGTCTGAAAGAGATACCCTTCTTCAAACAACCGCTTACAAAGCGAGCATTGTCTGAAGGCAGCCACCGGATCCAAGCGGGAGGCTGCAGCGAAAAAGAGGGCAGGAGAGGCCTCCAAGGAAGCTTTGCAGGCCCAGGAGCCGCAAAGGTTTTGGGTTTAGGGTTCCTGCAAAGGGTTACTATAAGGGGACTATAAGGGTTCCTTTAAAGAGCTCTATAAGGGTTTAGTTTAGAGTTTCCGGAAATTAGGGGGCACCTTATGTTGTGGTCCTTAAGATCAAGACCCTATTATTTGGGGTGCTTTTTTTTAGGGTCCCCCTATTTTCGGAAACCCCCATGTGGACCCGTCCAGGGCTCAGGTTCCAGGTTTCGGGTCCAGGGTCCCAGGCAGGGCAGGGTAGGGTAGGGTAGAAGGGTAGGGTTGTAGGGAAGGGTAGGGTAGTAGGGTAGGGCAGGGTAGGGCAGGGTAGGGTAGGGTAGAAGGGTAGGGTAGTAGGGTAGGGTAGTAGGGTAGGGTAGAAGGGTAGTAGGGTAGGGTAGTAGGGTAGGGTAGAAGGGTAGGGTAGTAGGGCAGGGTAGGGTAGGGTAGGGTAGGGCAGAAGGGTAGGGTAGTAGGGTAGGGTAGGGTAGGGCTAGTGTAGCTTCGAGGGCTTCTAGGGTTTTAGACTAGTGCAGTGTCATCCTGAGAACTGTCTGCATCTTGAAGGAGGACGATCAGGAGGCAGTTGAGGATGACGTAGAAGACGGTGGCACGGAGAAGGACGAGCGTGCTGATGTGGAACCGACCTCCGAGGAAGTCGCTACTTGAATGAAATCACGTGGACTCTCAATGTCTCAGGCTTCTCTGTGTGTGTATATATATATATATATATGTTTGCTTCCCCCCCCCAAAGATCCGCACTTTTTGGCGTTATTCGGAAAGAACCCCCTCAAATAGGACACAAATAATCCGAAAGAGCACTTCCATTCCACAGCATTGTCTGAAAGCCTTCTGTTCCTACATCACCTACAAGACCATATATATATATATATATATATATATATATTACCATATATATATATATATATATATATATATATGCAATATGTGTGAACCCTCATGTACGTCTTTATGCATAGGATACACGCGTGATGGACACTAAGGATAAACATACACGGGGAGGAATATACGAATACAATCAAGCACGACTACACTTCTAAAACGAAAAAAACAACGACAATGTGGTGTCTTGACATCGGGTGATCGGGGATGGAGACAAACGATGGCACAATGATCGTGACGGAGCTGGCGATGCCGCGAAAACGATGATTATGATGGTGTTGAGTACGAAGATGTCGATGGTGATGTCGGTCATGAGGATGACGGTGAGTTTTAAGGGCGCGTACCACAGACCCATTTCAGTCATTGTGGCATGTGGATGAAGTCCGGTGGTTCTCTGAGACTCCATGTTTGAGGACTGGGTCTCGATATGTTGCTCTCCTCACCTTGAGTGCCTGAGGTTCGGTAACCGATGAGGTTGTTGGAGTTGTTGGCTCACCCTCACCCGAGCTTCTGTATGGAGTAGGCAATGTGGCTTGCAATCGCCATACGGTGGTGCATGTAGAACACGACTGCGCTGCTATCCAATGTGTCTTCGCAATGCGTCTGCGCAACCCAATGCGTCTTCACAATGCGTCTGCGCCACCCAAAATGCGTCTTCACCATGCGTCTGCACCTGCCAATGCGTCTGAGCCTTCACCCAATGCGTCTTCACAATGCGTCTGCGCCACCCAATGCATCTTCACCATGCGTATGCGCCTGCCAATGCGTCTGCGCCTTCACCCAATGCGTCTTCAGAACGCGCCTGCACGTGCTTTTTTTAGGCCTTTGTTTGACGAACGCGTGTTCGCAATGCGGATGCGTCTTCAGGTCGTTTGCCACACTCCCCCAAGACGCGAAGCAAAGACAAAGCAAAGCTTCGGCAGATCCGTTTACACTCCACGTACCCATACAGTATATACTTCGACCTTAAGATACCAATACAGAGGCTATTCTAAGGCCAAAGTATACACCATGCGGACACTTGGAGCTTTAGGGGTTGTTGTAATGCACCAGAGACAATGCTGTTTTTTGGCGGCAGCAGTCAGCATGCGTCTCAAGCATTGTGGCTGTGAAGAAGCCGTCATTGATCAAAATCGCGACTAAGCCATCTAGCATCGGCTTCGACACAAACGTGGCTAGGCGGTCTCACTGCCCGACCTACTGCAGGATCTTCCGCATGTACCACGTCAGCAGAGCACCCGTGCACGTCCAAAGGTCCTGGCCACGGTGCCAGTAGTCGTACTGAGCGGACCTGATGCATGCCTGCATGTATGCCGAGCCCGTCTGGACATGTTGATTCAACCTCAAACGGCTCTTGATGAACTTCCAAGAGCGGTCGACGATCTGCGTGCCAACCTTGACAGTCAGCTTTCGCCCGGTGGGAAGAGTGATTTTCTTGAGCTTGACGTATGTCGGCTGCTGCCACGTCCACACGCCACCGACCTTAACCCGCTTCTTCTGGTGGACGACTGACCCGTGGTGTACTCCACGAACCTTTTGCTTGTATGCTTTCGCACTGTCTGTGTGTAGAATGATCTGCTTGTCCTTGAGCCACTTGTCTGCGATGTTGCGCCATTCATCCTTCCGAATAGGTCCCGGCCCCGGCGATCTCTTCTTGGTTAGCCTTAGATTCAATTACCCCTGAAGAAGCTCATTACAGTTGGTAACATCAGAACTGCTGCCAAGAAGCTTCGGAGAGAGACGAAGAAGAACGAGTGAGGTCGGCTTGCCTCGCTGCACCATTCCGACCCACTGTTCCCACTTCATGTTCCGTTCTGGTACTTCAACCTCATCTATGGGAACGAGCTTCTTGTCGAAAGAGGTTTCGTCCACTTCCACATCCTGCCAGGCGTTCTTCCTACCACCAAAGACCATACCGGCTTGGACATGCTCCACATAAGCTTTGCGAACAAAGGCCAAGCTCTTGTGCAGACGCTCCACGACTTTGTGGTTGACTTGGGTTACGAGGTGGATACTACTGGATGGTACGCCAGCAAGAAGTAGAAGCAGCAGACCCGCCTGGAGGCCAAGCGTCTGTCCTTCTGGTCCCCGGGTTGCTGAGAACAAAGGGTGCAAGTGCTGCGGGGTGATAAATTTGTGGCAATTCCGCCGTCGGCAACGGTAGCGTGGAAGCCCCGAGTCTCTATCCTGCAACGGGCCCACGATACCCTGTGTGCAGAATGGACAGCTGGCTCCTTCCCAACTCGGCAAGAGGCCATCCCGCATGAGAAGCTCGATGGCCTCCTTCTCCGTCAAGCCTGCAAGCTCTTGGAAGGTCCGCTTCCATTTAAGCCGGTCAACTCGAGGGGCCTTGTCGCCGTCCCGAACATAGGGAGTCGATGCCCATGCCTTCCCTTGAGTTAGCTTGGACGCTGGCTTCTTCGTCAGCTTCTGCTTTAGAGCCATGCGCATCTTGCCCTTTTTGGGGCATGGAAAATTGCGCACAGGCTTCTTCTCCAACGTCTTGGCCATGGCACGCCCGTTCGTGACAGGGTCGTTCCGGGCAGCTAGCACGCGCAACTACTGTTTCGAGCCTTGAGGCACATCTTGGTTACAAATCAAAGCAGTCAAAGCAACATGAAGCTGCAACATGTCTGCAGAAGGCGCTGGCCATTTTGGCTACGACGGTGTGTCGTTGCACGGTGCACAGGCGCTACTAGTGTCAGGGAGGGCAAGACCGAGGATAAAGCAAAACTATCGGTCCTGAACTCTGCACTGCTGCAGAGCAGGCAATCCCTACTCGTGCAAAAAGCGCGCCGCCTCCTCATCGGGAACGTTGTCCCCGTCATCAACGTCCATCTCATCGCCGATCGAGTAAGCCTCAGTCTCCTCAGGCTGCTGCTCCGGCTCAGGCACAGGCGCTGCGGACAAGGGCTCTTCAATGATCGACTCTTCCGCTGCAGTCGCAAGCTCCTCTGGACACGCCGAGGAGGACGGCATAGAAGCTCCATGGCCCAAGGAAGTCTTTGAGGTCAAGCGGCGCTTCGGATTGTTGCCATAGGTGAAGCTCGTCGAGTTAGTAATGCGGCGGCGGGGTTGGTCGTGGCCAGCTAGCTGTACAGAGAATGGCACTGTTGCGGGAATGTCATTTTCATCAGAAGAAGGAGAAGACGGAAGATGCCGGACAAGTGCTCTGCGAGGAAGTAGGTGCTGTTGGATTTCGTGGTCGCACTTTTCCAAGTAAGACTTTATGTGCCCGGCGTCTTTCATCTTTTGATAGGCTGCTTGGATCATGTCCTGCTCTCGCTGGACATGGCTTGCAAAATCCGGGTCTTTGGATGAGTACCCACTCTTGTAATCCGAGAGGAACTGCTTGTCGTGCGGACCAAGTAGGTCAAGATGCAGGTCGTCGCGTTGAATGCGATGCACCATGGCCTCAGCCGATTCAGACGGGAGCCGAAGGTATAAGGCATACTTGCCAAACACGAACACCACCGCCCTCTTCAAGCACGCCATGATGTCTGCATCCTTCTCATCCGGGAACGTGTGGCGCATCAGGCACAACAGCTCCTCAGGCTTGATGGTTGTGCGAGAGTCCGCTTCCGGCTCATCGGCCTTGGCAAGATGATTTCCTGCATACAGGCGTGGCTGCCCCCGCATGAGCTTCACATCATTGTAGCGTGCACTACAAGTCTGATCCTCTTCTGCTGTCAGGTATGACTTGAGGTCCGCGAGATCAACCTTGTTGCGATTTGGATCATCCAAGAAAAGAGCTTCCCCCGGAACAGGAACTCGCTGTCTGAAGTTCTCTAAGGACTTGTCGCGTCTCCAGGACGGTACTCCTTCAACACCAAGTCTCTTGAGGTGATGTCGGCCCATCGCAAGACCCATGACAATCAAGGCCGGTGTTTTGCCTACACCCGGCCATCCTATCATAATGACGCCGTGGAGGACCATGAGAGGGTAGATCATGGGAAGGAGGACATCCGACAGGAAGGGTTTCATACTGTAGGTATGCAAAGGAAAGTCGTAGCATGGTGATGCACCCGCAATGCCGCGGGATTTGTTCACACACATGTTGCGGACCTTGGACTCAGGCCATCCGCTTATAGGAGACCCTGAGCCTTCCCGGATGTTGCTGAGTATCCAGAAAGTTTGCTCATTGCGAGCATCACCTTCTGGGGCGTTGTCATTGATGTAGTCTATGCCTCTGCGGAGTTCTTCATCTTCTGGCGCCCACTGTGCCGTCTGAGCACGACGTATTCCAGGTTGCTTTTCTGAAACATTGTTCCAAAGAACTCGAAACCCAGGCAGCCGTTGCAACAGGTGTTGGATGGCCTTCCGCACAGAGTGTGGCCCCGACTCTGCTTTGTAGACAGGAATATACACATCACCTGTGCATATCTTCTTGGCATGAGGCATGCCCACCTTCTCGGGGAAGTGAAACATTTTGATGATGTTCATGGTGCCGTCCTGGAGGTTGTGGATGATGACCCCCATCTTCGCGCCCGGTGGGAGTTGTTCTTGGACACGTAGCGAAGGAGGAAGATCCGTGAGCTCACCCTGCTGTATCAGTTCACCCAACCGAGCAAGTCCACCGTACTCCGCTACTTTCATATGGACGTCAAAGATCAGCGTAGTGGTTTTGACACCGTCACATCTGCGGCAGGATGCCGACAGGAATTGCTGAAGTGAAATTGCATCGTCAATGTCGGACAGGTGGCCGATTTGGGGAAGTGGCAGTGACTGGAACTGCCATTCCTTCCCAGCAACCTTCGCAATCACGGAGTCCATGAGTTCTGCCATGATGACGTGCGTGTCAGTCCTTCAGCAGTGTCTAGTGACAGGTCAATGGAGCTTTGCACAGAGCCAACGCTTGATCAGCCACGGGGGTTGTGTGGTGTTACGAAAGCACAGCTGTCCATGCAGTGCGCACGAGCAACCGTTTTACAGTCAAACTGCTGCTTCGTACTGTTGCGTGACCCACAGGATGCTGCACAGTAGGACAATATGAATGATAATTCACGCGCTGCCACAATGTGTAAGAACGGATGAAACTCAGCAGAAACGTCTATGCAAGACGAGGCATCTTTACAAGAAGCGTCTATGCAAGACGATGCATCCTGACCAGAAGCGTCTATGCAAGACCACGCATCCTCACCAAAAGTGTCTATGCATGACGAGGCATCTTTACAAGAAGCGTCTATGCAAGACGAGGCATCTTTACAAGAAGCGTCTATGCAAACCGAGGCATCCTCATGAGAAGCGTCTATGCAAGACGAGGCATCATCACACGAAACGTCTATGCAATACGATGCATCCTCACAAGAAACGTCTATGCAAGACGAGGCATCTTTACAAGAAGCGTCTATGCAACACCACGCATCCTCAGGAGAAGCGTCTATGCAAGACGAGGCATCATCACACGAAACGTCTATGCAAGACGGTGCACCCTCAGAGGACACGCCTATGATATCGGCACAAGGCTGGCATGATCTGGCATGATATTCATACATGTTGGCTGCACTCATGTCGTGCGCACAGCCAGCGAACGAGCCATCGTTTTTCATCCGCTGCCGTCGTCCAACGCAAGAAATGCCACATCCTCTAGGTGTAGTTTAGCCTCCAGCCAAACCCACATACGAGATCATACGAGTGACTGCTCCGTCACTGGACTGCCACATCCTGTGTGTGCGGCTCAGCCTACCAGCTCGCCGTGGCTGTACTGAATGGCGCGGAGCAACTTGTAGCACAGGCGACGCCTTTTAGGAATGTGAAAGTTCGTCTCCAGCTGCTCAGTCGTGAATGTCCACATGTCAGACCAGCCAGTAGTCCACTGACTAGTGTCTGTCTTTTTGATAAGACGCACCGTCGACGAACACACAGTGGAGGAGGAGGAGGATGAGGAACTGTCGTCGTCACTGCTGCCGTCCTTGCGATCCACATTGGTGTCGTGATTGGTGTCGTCGCCATTCGCTGTGATGAGCTCCTTTGGGTTGTCCTGGTCATTCGGGTCCTCACACACCTTTATGTCGTCATTGGTGTCGTCGTCCTTGTGGCCAATCTCCCTGACGGCATCCTCAATTGGAAGGGGCTGTGTGCGCGTGGGGTCTTCTTGAATGCTGAGCTGGCACGTGGCTGCAGGGGACTTCTTGCTCGACTTTTTCTTGGCCTTCTCGAGCATGCGAAGGAGGAGGCCATCAGCTGCCGGACACCAGGGTTCACCCATGCCAACCTTCATGTCCAACTGTCTTTGAACATAGTTCATCAGGGTGCGGAGACTGTCCTTGGACATGGGCAAACGGGATTGGTGGACGTTGACCTTGTCATCCACAATCGCTTGCAGGACAGCATTGTCGTTGCGAACGAGACTGTGTACCCAAGGAGCGGATGTGGTAGCCGATGCGGAAGAGGAAGGCATGTTCGCTGTTGTTGCGCTGGTGGTAGGCGTTAGCCGCATGCAGATGCTCCCGTTGTCGAGGGATGCGACACCCGAGAAGGTCAGCTGCGACATTTTGGAGCGCAGTAGTGAAGACTACTCGGATGATTCAGGCCAGACTTGCGACGGGGCATCGGCACATAGAGAATGACATGCAGCAGTATGCAATGTGATACTACGACTACTACGACGACGACTACTACTTTACTACTACGACATATTACTACCACTAACTGGTTAGTTCTATTACACGTGGCATGGGGCAAGGGCTGTTGCCGGCAACACATCGGGTATTGGATCTTGGATAGAGGCCTTAGCCCCGGTACAAACCGGTACAACCGGTACAAGTTGTACCGGTCTTCTCTTGGAACCTTGGAAGCATCCCCCCGGTACCAACCGGTACAACCGGTACAAGTTGTACCGGGGGAATCCAAGATTCCAAGATTCCAAGATTGCTGCGAACTCTTTCTCGGAATCTTGGATACCGGAGCCCATCCAATTCCAGGATTCCAAAAAAACTCCGCTGCAATCTTGGAATCTTGGAATCTTGGATTCCCCCGGTACAACTTGTACCGGTTTGTACCGGGGGGATGCTTCCAATGTTCCAAGAGAAGACCGGTACAACTTGTACCGGTTTGTACCGGGGCTAAGGGGCCGAGGCCGGTACCCACTATCTTTGGAGCGGACTTCGCCCAACCATGTATGTGTGTGTGTGTGTGTGCGTGTGTGTTTGCTAAATGTTGTGGTCTTCACGTAGGAAGACACACATACAGACGACATGAAGAACAAACAAACGGGGATGGCACACGAAGAGCTCGAAACAGACAGAAAGCGTGGATCTTTGGGGGGGGGGGTACCATATGTTTGTGTTGCTGCTGCCATGATATGTTGGGCTCGATGGGAGCAGCTTGAATCAGCAAGCAGCTGTCTTCTTGCAACTTTTGGACGAGCTCGTCCAGTCGGCATCGTACATGATTCCTCGTGTTTTGCTTGACCAAAAAGCCGACGATCATCGACTCAAGCTAACCAAATTCAGCACCAGCCATAAGCACCGGTGGCTGGATGGAAGTTACCAGCGCCAGACCAAGCCGTCATCCCTGAAAGAACAACTACTCTTACCCATTTGTCCGAGGTCCGCTTCCATGGCGCTCCGAGGAAAGGGTGGGACCGCTACTTTCGAGGAATGCGCTGCAACGCAAGGATCCCGTCCCTGCGCAGGGGACCGTCTCTACGTGTTTGTGAGGTTGTAGTTATTTATGTGAAGTGTTACCATGGAGGCCGGAGTACTTTGGGGAGTGCTTTTCTTTCAGGCTTCTTGTTATTGCAACTACAGCAGCCAAAAGACCTTTCGGGTTATTCGGAGGTCAGTATTGGGATTTGCTCACGGTTCAGATACGCACATACATACATACGTACATGCATACACACATAGACAGATGGACGGACGGATGACACGGACGGATAGAGAGACAGACAGACAGACAGACAGACAGAAAGACAGACAGAAGACACACAGGCACATACCCGTACACCTACACATATCCGTAAACAAACACATATACCTGTACCTATGCATATACATGCACATGCACAGCACATTTGGCTCGTAGAACCTTCGGGATTTCGGATTCGAATCTCGCGGCTTCCTTGCATCGAAGATTTTGGATTTTAGATGCATGCATCCGACTAATTAATTACGCAGATGTGTGTAGACATAGATATACATACAGATATAGACATTTAACGTTTGCTACCAGGTTTCGGGCCCCGTTCTAGGTTCTTAGTAAGCATTCAGGAACTGTTGACAAGGGGAGCAGAAACTCAGAGCCACTTCCCACATAACTCTGTACTATCGTAAGCTTCTTAAACAGACACCCACTGGCAAGGGCATCAAGGGCTGACCCAACATGAAAATGTTAACAAACCAGCATTGGCTAGCAGCCCGATCGGTTTGGTGGCTGGATGGGCGGGTCTTTATGGGAGGCTCAGAGTGCCCTGATGGTACCCTTCCGGTGCCTAATGGGGATTTGGAAATGGCTTTGTAGTCGAAGCTCTATGTCCACCAACTGACACGGCCTAAATGACAAACATATGTCGCAGAAAACACACATTGAGGATCTATGTGCGGTTAGGGTTTAGGGTTTCAGGGGGATCGGGTTACATCGTAGCGAAAATGGCACGAGCTGAAATCGGAATACTTCTAACCCACAGCTCGGATGAGCATGGTTTCCGGAAGCCCTCGAGGCCTCGTTGAACCGAGGCTTATTGCGTATATATATATATATATATATAGATACATATACCTACACACATATATATATAGATATGCATACATGAATATATATATATATATATATATATACATACACGTTAAGAGACCACGGCCTGGTGCTGTTGGACCTACCACCTGAATCCGTGCACTTTGCGAGCGTGCGAGTCGCAACCATAAACCACAACGCTAAAACATCAAACTTGAAGCCCTGAGCCTTAGAGGGAACCAGCACAACCCTCAGCCCTGCCTTCAGGCGCATGCAACCTAGCTTGTTGATGCTTTTTGTATGGTTCCACTGTTACGATTTTCTAGTAGATGGCATCAAAGAGGCAAGCTTTTGCAGGGGTCTAAGGCAAACTTTTGGAACTTGAAGAACTAGAACCTAAGCCTCCATGCCTAAACCCTCCCCCCCTAGACTTATCAGCCCGAGAACCTAAGCTCTAAGCCCTAAGCGTCTACAATAGCCCTAAACCCTAAACTCTTAACCCTAAACGTCTATCTTGGCCTAAGAAAGAAACCTAAACCCTACTTGCTGTTCGCAGCTGGGAGGAATGTCATCACTTGGAAGGGTCAGGAGCTCGGATGCTGTGCAGGCGTCAACCGTTTTAGGGGTTACCTTAAGGGTTTCAATGATGTAACATTTAGGGTTTAGGGTTTAGGTGATAGGGTCCTGAATAATTTGAGTGGGCTTTCAAGTCATAGTCGTTCTACAAGCACACAATAACGAGGAACCCCAAGATGTATTCAGTATTCAGGCTTCAATATGTTAACGTTGCTCATTCATGTTTCTTATAGCTGGCTCTTGCCGGAGGTTTCGGATAAGGGTTGACAGGGTTTCTTGACATGGGTTTGAGATGGTTTGAGGTTCGAGTGACAAGGTTTCTGCATGTTCTTCGGCGCCTGGGTCGGTTGAGAGCCATGCTGCTTGTTCATGACATCTCAAGCCCAAGGCTAAATACCTCGCAACCCAAGCAGAAGGAGACCGACAAGTGATTCAGCTTAGATTGTACGAATGCTGAAAGGCTACACGATACGGGGCTCACCATCCCAGAGAAATCTCGAAATCTCTCGGGGTAAACCTGAAAGCAGCCTCGTGCCCGAAGCCTTGCACTTTACAAATTAAGTCCTAGACGTTAGGCCCGAAATCCCTGTTGGAGAGTTCGCAGGCCTCTTAGCTGCCAGTCTTCTGAAAACCTAAAGCTCCAAATCCACCACCCCTGAAGACCTGAATCCACTGAATCAGAAAACCTGAAGCTCCATTACCTACACCCCGGAGCCCGCAATCCCCATGATAGTACGAGCCATTGATATTGGAGGAGCTAAGGAGCCAGGGATGATGATAATTCCGATTTAATAAGGAGCTAAAGAGCCAAGGGAACTCCAAAACCACTTGTTAGGTAAGAGCCGAGAACCTGCTCGCTAAATCCACGATATTTGCGAGGTCGAGGATCTCTGCCGGAGCCCCCGAAGACAGTGCCAAGGTAGGGTTGAGGTTTAGGGTTTTATGGATTTCGGGTTTCTGTCTCAAAGGGGAGAAGGAGGGACCCTTAATACGGACCCCTAGGTATATACCCTTAATATAACTATTATATACCCATGATATAGCCCACTATAGGGTAGGGGTCCCCATGAAGGGTCCCTCCTTTTCCCCTTTGACTGTCTTATGGTTGTAGAGTTCAGGGTCGAGCATTCATTTATATGGGGTTGAGGCTCCCCCGTTATTTGCCGTTTGCCATTCTCGAGATCAGTGCCATGGGTCGTTGTTTTTTTTTTTTTTTTTTTTTTTTTTATGGTTGTCGTTTCATGTAGTAAAAAGTCATATGAAGCACTGCGAAACACTCTATGTTGCCGTCGGGCATAAGTTTGTAACTACTGTACTGGTTGTTGTCCATTGTGTTTGGTAGAAGTACCGTCAAAGACGCACGTGCTTGATTCTGCTGTTTAGACTGCTGCAGCACGCCATAACCGTAGTATCCACCATGACGATAGCAATATTAACCAAAAGCAGTTCATCTCAATCAGCACTCTAGTGCTACATTCAAACCTGCACCGCAGCCATCAACCCACACCCCGGCATCAATTTGGGTGGTTGTCAAAATTAGGGTTTCTTTTGGGTACCCTAGATATTCGGTGCCGTATTATAATAGGGATCATAAGGGGACCCTAATTTTGACAACCACCCATGTCACTGAAGTCAGGGGCTAACCCAAAGGGTCCAAGTACTAGTATAGTATATACTTTGGGGCCCAAATACCTACTAAGTACCTACTATAATGGTATTTGGACCCTTTGGGTAAGAGTGTTGGGCAGGCTTAGGGCTGCTGTATGGAGTTTGAGGTGAGGGACATCGGATTTTGGGCTTCGGGCTTTGCTGGCACATTAAATGTTCTATACAGGAGCACATGTGTATAGATACATATATATATATATATATGTGTATATGTACACACACACACACACATATATATATATATATATATTTATATATACATATACAATATATGCACACAAGTACAAGTACATTACAGCATATACACCGTTTCAGTACACATGCACCTACATAAACATTTACATATGCATTTACACATATCTGGTGCCTTCCCACTTCCGAAACCCAAACCCGACAGTTCCGGTTGCTGGCTGCTGCCCACCAGTGACGAGGCAGCCGTTGCAGTGCGAGGCTGAGAGGATTTCAGGGGGCTTAGGGCTTCAGGCTTTAGGGTTTCCAGAGGCTTTTCAAAGTTACGTTTCTGGGGCCCTTAAACACATAAGCTATTTGGGCTTAAGTTAGGGGCCCTAAAGAAATTGCAAGAGGCATGGGCCTCAATGGGTTGTGCGGGTTTCTCTTTTGGTAATAATTGTGTGCTGGGCTGAGCTGTCCGAGTTTTGTTTGAGTTTTGTCCGGCTTCTCTTTTGGAAACCGTTTCTGCTGGACTGCGGGCTCTGTGTTCTGAGCTGAAAGGACATCTTCTTGCGCATGTCCGTCTTGAGAGTTTAAGGTGTCAGGGCTTTGGAGATAATAAGGGCTTTCGGAGTTAAGGGTTTACAGTTTAACATAGGGGCTTGCATAATCTTGACAAGGTCTTGGGGTACAACTATATAGGGACTAAGGGAGTGCATATCTACAGTACATATATACATATATACAGTATGGTCATGATGTTGTTGATGGTCACGCTGCTGGTGATGATGATGATGATGATGATGGCGATGGTGATGGTAATGATGAGTCACTAGCATAGAAGTCACAGAGGTCGGAATAGTCAGTAACAGTACCCGTGCATGGTCCGCTATGATTGTACGATGGTTACTTTATTAAGGTCTCTGGTCTACCTCTGGAGCCCAAACCGTAAACCGCGCCATACGGTTAGATTCCAGTTGCTGTGGTAAATGTAGCAAGTCAGGGTGTCAGCATATAGCGAATTCATTGGGCCTTGCACGAATCGGGGTGCGGCGAGGTCTGTCAAGATCTGGGTTGGGGTTTAGGATTTAATTGGATATATTGTGGCCGGAGCCGTGCAAACAGCAGTGTTTGCAGTGGCTGCAGTTGTGAAGCCTTGCCTACCTTCTGCGAGTTGCGAGACCTCAAGCCCCAAACCCTGTATTGCCAAACTCTAAAACTTTGGGAGTGTGAGCGCCGAAAATTTTGGGGGAGTGGAGGGATATTGAGCTTGAGGTCCGTGAGGTGTCTACACTGTGGCAGAAGCAGGTAAAGCCGGTGAGAATTTGTCTCGTGTGGAGCCATGAGTGTCGGTCCTCTGAGTTTGAGAATCCCAGGTGGTAGTGGTTGTGAAAATTATGGTCCCCTTTTGGGTCTTTATTATGATACGCCACCTATTATTTTAGGGTACCCAAAGGGACCCTAATTTTGACAACTACCCAGGTGGTAGTCGTGAGCTGCAAGAAGCTGCTTTTGAGAGTGTGCTGAGCGTGTCAGGGCTTTGGGTTTAACCCTAAACCCCCTGGCCAATGGCCTTATAGCAGTTCAGATGGATGGGCAGCTGTAAGAAGGAGATCAAGAAAACGCCCTAAACCACCCATGTGCCCCTTCGCTGTACCAGGAACCTCGCCAGGCATGTCCCACTGTCCCAGTTGTGAGTGCTGAAAGCCTTAAACCCTGAATCCCCAAAACCCTAAACCCTGAAACCCCTAAACCCTATAACCCCTAAACCTTAAGCCCTGAAACCTATAACCCCTAAACCTTTAAAGCCTGAAACCCCTAAGCCCGAAACTGCAAATGCGAGTCTTGGAAGCTGAGAGGTCGCCCAGCAGCAAGATGTCTTGCGGGGCATGGGCTGGCGGATTGTTACCTCGGAGGTGGAGGTCGGGGCCCTATATCAAGACTGCTATTGGGCTCTGGATTTCGGGTGTGAAGTTGTTACTGTTATTGTAACTGCTGGGTCTTGGCAGACTCGGCTCACCCAAAAGCCTCAACATGGGGTTTAGGGTTTGGGGTGTTGGTTTTCGGGTTAGGGTTTTTAAGCCCTAAACTTCAAGGGATTTAGGGTTTTGGGTGTTGTAGGGTTTTCAGATCCCTGAACCCTAAACTTCAAGGGGTTTGGGGTTTAGGGCTTGGATTCGGGGTCTATAGGTTGTGTTTCTAGTTGAGTGTTCGCGGCATTCTGGCGGAAGGCCCTCTCTCGTCGAACTTGCCAGCATTCGTCGAGACTGCTGCTCGATGTTTTCGACGCTTTCCTCTCAATCGTACAGGGAACTCCAGAAAGTTGGAATATGGGTTCATGGTAGGATACCCTATAATTTACCATAGAAGGGTTAGGATAATCATATTCCAACTTTCTGGCTTCTACTATATTAGGTTTCTATCGAGACTCGAGCCTTTTACCTTAAACCCCAAAGTGCACTCGCACAATCGAGAAGTGGAGGCAACAGACAAGCGTGTTTGCGGCTCAGGGTTCTTCCCTTGCCGGTTTGGTGATTTAGGTCTCCGGAGTCGGTCTAGAACCCTAAACCCCTAAATAGGACCCCTAAACCCCTAAACCCTAAACCCCTAACCCCTAAATAGAGCGCCGAGTGATGGGCTTGGGAGTTCGTGGGTGCCCTGAACGCGAACTACGGCTGATGATATAAACCCTGCATTGCCCATAATAAGGAATGTGCCATAATTCCCATAGTTTAGGGTCCTTAAGGTAACCATTACCTGAAGGACCCGAAACTATGGGAATGATGGTATATTCCTTATTATGGGTAATGCAGGGTTTTTATCATCAACCGTATCAAGCCTTGGCTTCCTAAACCCTGAGATCCTCAACCGCAACCTGTGCCGTCTCTATGTGGGGGTTTCCGAAAACCTTATTTTGGGGTCCTTAGAAAAAGGATCCTACTATTTAGGGTAGTATATTAGGGTCTCCTATTTTCGGAAACTCCCATGTCATTTTGAAGCACCAGTCGCCAAGACCACTAGCATGGGCAGTGGACTCATCATCCTCAAGCTTTGGACCAGATCTGGGTCATGTAGAGGGCTTAGGGTTTAGGGGTTAACAAGTAGGATGGTTATCATCACTTCGGTCACCATCACGAATCTGAGGGCAGCAAGGGAGGACAATCATCCGAAGCAGCATACCTAGAAACTTGAATGATTAGTAAGTAATACGACCAGTTGAAGTTTCTTATTGTACTCACTCTGCCAATGCTAATAGTCGGGTAATCTGCCCCAAGACCCTCTTCTAACTATGACATTGCAAATGGAGAATGCGACTGCCGGACTCAGTGTCTCCGAGAGCAGCTCCAACCCCCGAAGCCGAAGGGTCCTATGTACTGTTATGGGGGATACTTCCCTAAGTCATAATAGTAATTCTTAATATGGAAACCCTAGATTCTACTATACTGGTACATAGGACCCTTTGGGGAAGCCAGGTCCTACGTGACCTTGGCAACAAAGTGCGTCTGCAGGACTTTGCGAAGGCGATCGGGAAAGCCAGTAGGTTCCTGCAGAGCATTGGGCTTGTTTGATTTGACCGGGGTCTTGGTGTAATGATGCTCTCGTAAACCACATAAAGGAGCCCTGGGGAATAGTGTGGGTAGTTGATCAGGCCCCTATATTACTCAGCAGGATTTCCGTGAGAATCCCTTCCTTCAGCCGCCTGTGGTCGCACAAAGTCGTTTCGGAAGCCGGGTTTTTGGATGACAGTTTCGAAATCTAAGTACTTGCGTTAATTGTGGATTTATGTTTGCCCCGCAAGTTAAACCCCTGTGCTGTAGCCGAGTCCTTTGTATGAAGCTGGAGTAAGTTGGTCGTAAGGCGCGTGTACGACAAGTTGCAGGCTTGAAGGCTCATGCTGTGTTTCTGCACAGTCGGCTTCGGTGACAATGGCTTACATGGCCTGTTCCCTGTAGGAAGAAGGGGAGTAACACGCTAGCCGCCGGCCTGATAAAGTAGCTCCTTTTTCCGACGCGAGAAGCCAAACCACAACTCAAAGAGCCCACAAACCAGGAACCCTATTCCGTAAACTAGGCTGTGAACCGTGAAATCACAAACAACCCTAAGCTTTAGAACCCTGCACCTGTAGTCTTCTCACTCAGTGAGTAGGGAAAGTATCCGCCGAAGAAGTGCCCAACCCTGAACCCTTGACATCCCCCAGCTTGAACCCTAAGATGTAAAGAAGCAGAAACCACCCCTAAACATCCCTGAGCCTTAACCTGCCCTACTACTAAGATGTGGGAGTTTCCGCAAAATAGGGGACCCTACTATAGTACCCTAAATATATAGTAGGATCCTTATTATGAGGACCCCAAAACAAGGTCATGTGAGAGATGCACAGGCACATGGACTCTCTGGCTACTTGCGGGAAGCTCAGCGGCTGCTAGCATGCTGGTCTTGGTCGCAGCGTCCCAACAGTGTTAAAGGTTTTGGGCTTATTTGGTCCAATTGAAGATATTTATGAAAGTCTGAGAGCATGTGCCAAGGTTCTGTTCCAACTGATAAGGGCCCGCATATCGGAGTTTGCAGTTTCGACCAGAAAACACTTACAGAACAAGTGGAGGAGAGAATCGCAGGCAAAGCGAGTGGAACGGCAACAGCAGCCAGAAGCTCAAGCTAGAGCAAACCCGACCCAGGCCCCGCACGTCTCAGATAGACAGTTAGGCTCTCCATCATAGATTTAAAGTTCAGGGGCTGGGGTGCTTGTTATTGCTGCTGTGGAGGCGCGAATCCTCGAGCGGCTGCATGTTGGGCTTCAGAGCTCCACTTAGTAGTACAGTACGTAACCTTAAACCTTCCTGGACCATTATGATCCCTGTCTAACCCCAAAGCTTGACCTTTATAGTTCGCGTCGGATACTGGGCAAGTCAGTTCAGAGCTTTACGGTCCTCAAGGGTTCGTCCTACTTGAGTTCAGGCTCAGAGCTTGTTGCCGTAAGGGTTCATGTACCCATATATACCTGGGCCCTAAAGTACTGAAATAGGGAAGTCTACTATATGGGAGTTTCCGAAAATAGGGGACCCTAATATAGTACTTCAAACAGTAGGATCCTTGTTATAAGGACCCCCAAGATAAGGTACCCCTATTTTCGGAAACTCCCATATGAGTACATGGACCCTTGGGGTAACCTTCCGAGGGCTCTCGGAAATGTCCTCGGGCCCCAGAGTCTGGCCTCCTGTGTCCCCTAAACTTAGGGGTACTTCGAAATATTTTTTATTTGTTGGTTATTATAATCCCTAAGAAACAGCTACAACTACATTTTTTGCTAGGGTTCTAAGTTCAGTATAGTAAACTGGGTTTAGCCCTAAACCCGAAACACCCTACATGAACCTGAAACAGTTAGCCAACCCCTGACAAGTACCATACTATGGATCACCATGGTACCCATAGACGGGAGTACTTTTGTTACAGAACCCCACAGTACCCTGACTATAGATAGATCACCATGGGACCCATAAAGGGAGTCCTTCTATTATAGAGCCCCATACTTGGAGGATCATGGGACTTAGTAAGTAAGGTTATAAGTACCTTAATTGGGGTTATAAGTAATTTTAAGTATAGCTACCCTAATTACAACCATTTACTAAGTCCCATGATCCTTTAAGTAGTTCCCAAAAAGGCTTCTCGGAATCTGTCCGGAGGCCACAGCGCTTCGACTCCCCTGCGAGTGCCAGCTACCCCTGCATTCTCAAGCAGGCCACCTCTCAGAGCCGGGGAGTCAGAGCAAAAGGGTTTAGGGTTAAGTAAGGATTTATAGGGTTTGGGGGTTAGGGTCTACCTGGACCCCAAAAGCATGTAGAATATAATGGCCTTTCGAAGGTGTTGTGCCATTATGTTGACTACTTTTGGGGGATGTCTTGGTAGGCTTAGTTTAGGTTCACCTGGGCAACAAATTCAAGAATCGACCAGAAGCCGCGGCGGTTTCTCGGGTGTGTGAGTCCAGCGTCGTAAGAGGTTGAGGAAGTTCAGTTGGAGGTTTCGGGCTGCCACATGGGAGACCATACTGTCGTGGCCTAAATATTTTGCTACCACTTTTTTTTGGGGGGAGGGGTCCTGGTTATAGGTATAGTAAAATGAGCCCCAAAACCATATTCTCATATCAAGGACCCTATATTTTTCTTTCTGTCAGTCTGGGTTGAACTTTGAACCTTCAGAAAGGCGGATGCGTATTTCGTGTTGTTATCTTTAGGCATCTTTAGGCTCTACAGTAGAAGCCTAAAAGTTGGAATCCCGATAGCCTTAATCCTTCAAAGTAATGTATAGGGAATCTCAGCTCTATTTGGCCTTAATCCGGTTTCCAACTTTATGGGGTTTACTATACCCACCAGCAAGCTCCATGGGACCTTCTCATGGAAAGCCGGACTATTGGGTACCGTACAGTGCCTGAATGCACTCAAGAGTGCCTGAATGCACTCAAAGATGCAGGTACGAAGTTCATACATGTTCTGTCAAAATGCATTTGACGCACTAGTTCATAAATTCTCTGTCACAAATCATTTGACACACTGAATAGCTGTATAGCTGAAATCCCTGCCTGGAGTTCCGAGTTGCGAGAGTCTAAGCCCCATGCTTTACCGTTTACAGGATCCTTGAAGCCAAAAAAGCCTAAACCATAAAGTCTAAACCCCCACTCTCATGGAACCGGGTTCAGGTATTCGGTTCTGCTCAGCCTGCCAGTCTTCAGTTCATGGTTCTTCTGTACAGGGGGTTAAGGTTGTTCTGGGTGAGGTCGATTTGCACGTCTTGGAGATTTGGGTGATATGTCGCGGAGACTGTCCACGTCAAAATGAGCCACAGCTCCTGGCAAGCTTTTAGGAAACACACATGTGAAGAAGATTGAAGAAGTGTTTCAAAGAAGTGTTTCAGCATCGACCAAGAGACAGGCACACTGAACATCGATAACTCCTTAGAGCACACAGAAGGATGGGAGCCGCATGTCTGTGTAGATGTTGCGTAATGCGGTCGCCTCCTCGGAAGCGAGAACCTTCTGCATGGGTGCATGCATACATGCTCACGTGCACTCTTGCACATGTGCATGTAGATAAGAACATACGCGTGTACTCACCACGTAAGGGTTTTCGTAGACACGTATTCGTACATGTGTACGGACAAACATGCATACATGCGTGAATGGAGGCATGCTTATTTTATTCAACAGCATACGTCAACAACACAAAAACACACAGTCAGGCACATGGACGAATGCAACACACATTCATACATATACATATGTACATACATACCTATACTACAAACATACATAATTACATACATGCATACATGTCTATATATACAAACATTCTCAGTCATACATATACACATACTCATACACAAAAATGTCCATGTCCACACGTACACACACACACACACTTTTATATGTATATATATGTACATGCATACAGATTTTTGTTCAGGTATACATATTTGTATTCATAGGTTTTGTGTATCTATTCTTGTGTGTGCTCGTTTATGAATGTGTATATATATACATATATATATATATATATATATATATTTACTTAGAGACAGAGAGAGAGAGAGAGAGAGAGAGAGAGAGAGAGAGAGAGAGAGAGAGAGAGAGAGAGAGAGAGAGAGAGAGAGAGAGAGAGAGAGAGAGAGAGAGAGAGAGAGAGAGAGAGAGAGAGAGAGAGAGAGAGAGAGAGAGAAAGAGAGAGAGAGAGAGAGAGAGAGCGAGAGAGAGAGAGAGAGAGAGAGAGAGAGAGAGAGAGAGAGAGAGAGAGAGAGAAGAGAGATCTATAGTTCTATCCATGTATCCGGACAGAAAGGCAGCCAGACAAGCAGATGCTGTGCTAGGCAGAGCCCAGGACACAACTGCTATGCACAAGAAAACCTTGTCCCACAGGCATATGCACAAAGGATCCAAGAATGTAGGATATAGTACGGTTACTATCGTCGGAAACACCAGTATGATTTTGGGAAGTATCCCCCATAAGGGTTCCTAGGACCCTTTGGGATGCGCAAAGAAACAAGCCAATGCTTCATTACAGTGCGAACTGTGAGAAAGGATCATGTGTGCGGAGGTTCACAGAGAACGAAAACTCGAATTCCGTCGGCTCTAAACCAGGCCTTCGGCGAGTTTGGCAAGGAGCCTGTGCCTTCTAGAGATTTGGCACTGCCCGGTTCTTCTCGCTTCTCAGATGTGAGGCTTTACTCTTGTGGTCTCGATTTGGGTTTAGGGTTTAGGGAATGCTTGGTTGTAACCGGGCTGCTGGAAAATGAGGCCTGCTGCAAGAAGGGAATTTTTGGTCTTGGAGGGTTTTGAACTACAGGTTATGGACTTCAGCAGTGGTTGTGATCCTTCCAAGGTCCCGGCCAACCGAATGCTTGGAGCATGTGTGTCAATAGGTACCCATAGGCTCCATAGTAGTTCCCTTTTGGGGATTGCTTTAGAGGATTCTAAGTATGAGCTCCATAAAGGAACTACGATGGAGCCGATGAGCATCTGCGAAGAACAGGACAAGTCGTAATACCAACAGCCGGCAGCTTCGCAGTGCTTTTGTCCGGAGGAGTGCCGCATCGTGCATACGCCGGAAGAAGCGCAGCAGGCACGGCCACGGGTGAAATCACCTGTCCAGGACCGGAGCAGATTTGATGTTGGGGGCCTCATGGTTGAAAACCGGAGCCCAGTGTGGGATTTAGGATCCAGGTAACATAGGGGCCTTAACTAATAATTACCAATACTACTTTCGGGGGCTCCTTATTATAAGTATAGTATCTAAAGACCCCTATGTTACCGTTGAGGCTTCATGCTTCCATTCGGCCCCCTGGAGACTTGCTGTCGGGCGAGTGTCTGCTTCACAGGTGTCTTAGACTTTGAAGTCCATTGGGAAAAACGGGAGAGTACCATGTGTGGCTGCCAGAAAGGAAATCAGCAAGTGACAACCGAAGTATAACAAAGTCATATCATGAACTGTGGACACCAGCTACGACTTACGACTGACTGGGGAGGTTTGATAACTTTAGTAGGTGGGCAAAGCTGGAAGTCGAAAGCGGGCGAAAAGATCCCGGCTGTAGCACCAGGCAAAAAACGCTTTAGAGCCGACTTCCCTATCCAGAGCCAGCAACGTAAACCCATCATAGAGTCCACACTTCTCAGACTCCTTGCGAGACGGAGAAGGGTCGTTCAGACAAAAACATCATAGAAATAATTCTAAAACCTCTATATGCTCAGAAAAAAGGAAGTCAAGACTCCCTAAACTTTCCTAAACCCAGACCCTGGTTCCTTGCCTTCAGGTCGCTCCGCACGGCCTGGGCACGCGCTGGGTGATGCAGGAGCGGTTCATCTTAAACGGGTCGGGAAGGGAATCAGGCAGGATATGATGTAGGGGCCAAAATAATTCACCAGTAATTAACCCCAATTCTATTTCTTCTTGTCAGCAAAATGGGCCCCAAAACCGCATTCTAATTGGTAAGGCCTTTATATTGCGCTGGGAGTCTTGAGGATGCAGGGTTTATAGTGTTTAGGGTTGAAGGGCTGTGGGTTGTGGTGCATTGCACCAACATCGTGTCACCCTGAGCCCTCAACCTAAACCCTATAGGGATCTAAGGACTCATATATTAAGGCTTTTGGGCCCAAAGCCCATACTATGTAAGGCTTTTGGGCTACTTTGATCCCCAGGGAAAGGCAAGATGTTTTTCAATCTTTCCAGCCTTCACAGTGGCAGAGCCTTTTCTGTGGGCAGACCCCTTGCTCTTGGCCACAACAGCCAACCCCCAGCTGCAGCGGGGCCAGGAAGGAGGCTCCTTCAGGCCAAGTTACCATAGTAGGGATCTATAGTAAATAATCTGGATTCCTTCTTATGGTAACTGAAATTAAGTCCCTAAACCGGATGCCAGAAATGAGTTTGTGAGAAGAAGGGTGGCTTGACGACTGAGGATGCCAGAACGTGTTGCTGTGCCTTGCCGAGCTCCGGCTCGAAAACCAGAACTCGGCGATTGTAGAGCTTGTACGAGAGGAATACTGATCCTCAACAGTATGAAAACCCGGCAGAGATCGAGCGTCATGTTCCCGACAAAAGGCTACAATGGACCACTTGAAAACGAAATCTTGGCTGGCCTAGAACGAGAGCTACACACTGGAGCTTCGGCAGCCGAGCAAGACGGCTTCGGCATGCATCGGTATCTACAAAAAGCGCCAAAACCACGGCTAAGGGCTTGACCCTGCGGATCCCAACTGCGACTGGATCGAGGCAAGGCTTCCTAAAGGACTTCCCTTCGTACAGGGCCACAAGATGAAATTACTAGAACTTCTTTGTGGGAGCCTACAATGCGGTTAGTTTAGCAAAGTAGGAGAAGCAAGCCGACCTCTTGACTCTTGACAACTTCCGTTCCGGCCGTTCGCGATCCAGCTCCAGCAGCAACATCGGCGAAGTTGCGTGTGATGTCGGCGAAGACAGGCAGCTGTTGACCACAAGGAGGAGCCGGAAGCCTGCATAAGATCTCGCGCTGAGCTACCGACAAACGGAGAATCTTCGTGCGACCTCTCCCAGTCCTCGCTGCCAGTGTTTACCCTAAGGCCCCAAAGTAGTTCCTTTTTGGGGTTCATACATAGAATCCTATAAGGTAATCCCAAGAAGGAACTACTTTGGTGCCTATGGGTAAAGCCCGTCAGGCACGAAACTCTGAAACAAAGTTTAAGCCTACACGCTAAGCCCACATCCGAAAGTGCTCTCTACCAAAAGAAGCCGGACCTGAGCGGCAAAAAAGGGATCCAATCAACAGGCCGTCAACACATCCCCCCCAGATCTGTGGCACCGCGGTCGTTCATTGCACCTCCGAATGTTTCATCCACTAGGCTTGACCGTCAACGCCCTACAGACGTCAGCACCCTCTATTTGCTCTCCTGCCGCCTTAGACGCCAAAATCCTAAACCCGAAACCCCAAAACAATCCCAAAACACCAAAACCCAAGACCCAAGGCCCCAAAACCCCAAGACCTTAAGTCCGAATGTGAGCGCCGAAACCCAAAGCACCAAAGCCCAAAAAGCGCAAACCCAAAACACTCCAAGCCCCCCCCCCCCCCCCCCCCCAAATGAAGCCCTGGTCCTGCGGGGAGGAACTGATTCGCGGGCGGTTCGAGGCGGACATGGGTTCAGGGGTTACTGCATCTAATCTTGCGGTCTAAGAGACCCATAAGCCTCCAATAAGATCCATAAGCTCTTGGTTTCAGTCTGCGAGGATGCGTTTCCAGAGTAGTGGTACGCACCGGGTGGATCCCATGGAGCCCCGAAGCAAAAGAAACGATCTCTTCCGAGTGGTGTGGGGTTGTAATTACATCGTAGTACCGTACCAGTCGTCGTAGTAGTCGTAATGGCTGCAGTAGTAGTCGTAGTCGGTCGGCATAGTAATGTTGGTAACTAGTAGTTAGTAGCAGTAGCAATAGTACTTGTACTAGCACTAATCTCAGAACTACTACCTGCTATAGTAGTGCAATAATGGATCCGTAGTAGCCCAGTAATGCTACAATAGTGAGTGCACATGTGCACGGTAATGTGATTGCAGCTAGTTACCCGCGGGAACATGCCATGACAATATTGAGAATCGTAAAAGCAACTGATGATATATGAATGATGACGACCTGGACCCCAAAAGTATGTACAATAATAGCCTTTTTTATGGGTTTTGGGCCGGTATTTCATCTACTTTTGGGGGTCTAGGGAATGACAACAAATAGAAACCCAGAAAATGTCAGTGAAGCAGTCGAGGGACCGAGCCTCTGCATGACAGGTGTCCACCACGGTACTGGTGGATTCTGGCCAGATCATAGATGAGATTAGCAGCTGAGCCTGGGTGTGCACGATATGATTGCTGGGTTGTCCTTTGGGATCTTTTTTAATTAATTTCCCCTACTATTTTGTAGAGAACCATAACAGCGAATAATTTTCAAAGGGCTTAAAGGACAACTCAGATTGAGACACTAGCCAGTATCCATACCCCACCGAGAAGCCAGCCCTTTCCGGAGCAGCAGAGCTCAAATTTTCGGTCACTATGGCGAAAGTAGTGCCTGTCCTGCTGAAGGGTTCGTAGAATCTGTGAGGCTGCGGGGCTGCCCGCCCACAGAACCCAATACCACTTAATTCAGAAATATACCTTGAATCGTAATATGAAGCCCCCTAAAACTTAAGGTATATTCCTGCATTACCTAAACCTCCCAAAGTAAATAAAATAATGGCCCAATACCCATAAAAAGGCCATTATTCTACATACTTTTGGGATCTAGGTAAGGGGTATTGGGATCTCTGGGCCGGTATCCGAAAAGTCGGGCAAGCCCCGAAGGGGCCAAGGGCAATTCGTCAAAATCGTCTCCGTCCCTGTCAACGATTGGGGAGTCACACCCAGGGTTCCTCTAAATTAGGGTCTATGAGGGTTACTATAAAGGTTACTAAAATTAAAAGAGAAAAAGTTACTATGATATAGGCGCGTTAATAATTAGAAGAGGGTTTTGGGGCCCATGATACTACAATTATACTAAGGAACCCCCCCAAATTGGTGATGGTTATCATTAATGCCCCTATAGTAACAGGGCGTCATAGTACTTCCACAGGCGTTGTAGCCTCTGGGCTCTTTTCCGGTGTTTGCACCGCGCCTTTTTCTTAGGAGCTTCATAGTATAGGAACACGGGACAATGGGGGCTGTGTTAGTGTTTTCACCCGATGTCGATGCCAAGCGTAGCCGACAGCCAGAGGTTCGTTGGTTTAGGGTTTACGTGTTCCAAGGCTATGAATACGACTCCGAGATCTACGTCTGGCCACGCTGCCGTCGTGTTAGCAAACGTCTGCATTCTGTGCCGGAGGACACGATTTAGGGTTTTGTCTCGGGTCCTGGCTGCAATTCTCTCCAATTCGATTGGATCCAAGAGAACTGTGCCATGCCGAAAGTTGCACACATGTCAGTAGTTGTGTGGTTCGCGCCGTGACGCTTGAACCACAGCCACAAACCTTTAGATCGTGGGCTGGGGTACCCAACACGTAGGGTTCTGACGCAATGCCTTGGCAGCCAAAGTATACTAATGTAGGGACCTGATCAAGAAAGCCTGGGCCTACAACTCCAAAATAGTAGGATTCATATAAGGACCCAAATAAAGGCCAAGGTTTCTTAATCAGATTCCTAAGCGGCGCCCGAATAACCAAAGCCCTTTCTACACCAGTAAGAAGCAGTGAGATATGGGAGTTTCCGAATATTAGGGGTACCTTATTTAGGGTCCCTATAATAAGGATCCTACTATTTAGGGTGCTATATAGGGTTCCCTATTTTCGGAAACTCCCATATGAATCAGGAGGCAGGAAAGGCTGTGGAGTGTGGTCCTCTTGTCTCAGAGGCAGCCTTACCCAGACCTTCCAAAATCCTTTACTTAAGAATATACCTTAAATCATATTAGGGATCCTATTATAATTTAAGGTATATTCCTTAATTAAGGGATTTTGGAAGGTCTGGGTACATGAGAATCCCAAAGCATCCCTGCAGATCGGAATCTTGGAGAGAGGAGCACATGCTCGTGTTCCAAGAGTTTCTGCGGCAGTACCGCGGCATCTGCAATTTCAACTACAAGGACTCCGGGGTTTGATTATGTCCAAGTAGTTAGTAACAATTTCGGAGTTTCCGAAATAGGGGACCCCAATATAGCACTTGAGATAGTAGGATCCTTATTCTAAGGACCCCAAAGAAGGTACCCGCTATTTTCCGAAACTCCCATTTGCCACTCTTCCAGTTTCTCTTGCTCTGTGATGGCCTATACTCATATGGTTTCCAGTCGCCACATGTTGAAGTGTTGTTTCATGTGGATGTTCGAGCTCGACGACTGTTTGCCCCGGGGTGCGTCTGGAAGTTGCAAGCCGTCAACACCTAGAATGAGGCTTTTGTGGATTTTCAAAAATGCTGACAAAGAATTGTGGGACTTGGCTTCGAATGCCCTGAATGCTGAGTTGATGATCCAACAACAGGCCATAAGTCCTACGCCTCTATTCTAGAACCCTGCGTCCCGAATCAGACTAATCATTTAAAGCCACAAGGCAAACCCTCACATCACAGAACTGCGAATCCTTAGAGAGTTTGGTTTGGTAGGCCTCGCGGATTTGGGCTGGCCTGGCTTGAAATTCATTGAAAGAGAGGTTCAACTTCTGCAAACTGAGTCTCGCATGTCTGACCGTGGTCGGATCCCTGAGACAGGAATCTCAAATTTGAAGCCCCACGCTCCAAACACCACCAACAAATGCCACAAATGTCAACAAGACTCCAAACCCCAAAAAGGCTTCTTTGGGGCTACCTTTATGGGCTCCTTCATGGGGCCCTAAACACCCAGACCTTCCAAAATCCCTTAATTAAGGAATATACCTTAAATCATATTAGGGATCCTATGATAATTTAAGGTATATTCCTTAATTAAGGGATTTTGGAAGGTCTGGGTAGTATCCCCCCCCCCCCCCCCGGGCCGGGGGCAGGTTCGCGAGTCCGGTCAGCTGAGCATCTTTGAGCTGAACACCCGAATTGGACACCCGGCTATATAATGGGTATATAATTGCTATATAATGGGTATATAATAGCTATATAAAGGGCATATACCTAGGGGTGGCTTGAGCTTTCTGCTGGGGCTGTTCGGCTTTAGTTTTTATTTGAGGGCTGAGGCTTGATTTGTTTCGGGGTCAGGGTATAGCGAGTCCAACTTGCAGGGTTTTCAAAGAAACCGTGGCATAAGGATAGATTATGGATTAGGGACTGTACGGGATAGTGTCAATTCGGCTACTATAAGGCTTTGGGGTGTTGGTGAGCTATATACAGAGCATTTTTGAAGTCTGGATGTACGGTTTTAGTAAGTGTACATAGTATAGGGCTCTTCGTGGTGGTTGGGGAGTGCATGTCACATGTCTAGTGCCGCAGTATGGGAAGGAGCACTTGTTTCCAAGGCCACATCTTCAACATCCCTAGCAGCCCTGCCACCTCCTTGATAGGTTACTATACCATGGTCGCAT